ATAAATGTATTCATTTTAGAATCGTACTCGTAAGTGCAGACCTTACATATGTTCACATATCGCCCTACTATGCGATTCTCATATATTCAAGTAACACAAGTTGGGTTGGGAATCTAATAAATAAGCTGTATTTCATCTGTTACTCTCGCTCTAATTAACTCTCTTGCACTCTATCTAAGTATATTCCTCTTACCTTATCGTATCTTTCTCCTGGTTTTACTCTAACCGGTTCTACACTTAGTTTCTCCTCTTGGCGATGCATATATATTGTACATATTTATATTATTCGTGTTCCTATTGACATAATTCTTGAATATGGAGCTATGTATAGAAAGCTGAAAGCTCAAGAGTACATAGACACAAATTTATTGCAGCTTTTAAGATTCCGACCCAATTCACAAAGTTGTATCCAGAAGGGAAACTAGCTAAAGACAAGGAACCTCGATTCCTCAAGAGGGCTCGGCTTTCCATGGTAAACCAACTCATTACCACACAATGCGACAATAAACTTGTGATGTAGCTGAGGCTGCTTCAATTCGTGTTGGCCCAAAACGGAAGGAGGAAGTGCCGCCAAAAACGGAACCATCTGTCGCGTCTCCGAGTTGAGTGACAATGTCGAAAAAAAGGTGCAGGGCGAGGAGCAAAAGAAAAGAAAAAAACAAAAACGAATTTAAACACTGGCCGTGCAGTTATTAAAAAGCGATAAACCCAGCGCAAACGCATTGGCGAATTGTTGAACACCTTGGCGACAGGGGCGGCGGCCCAGTTAGCTCCGTCGAGCTGTTTCCAGTTATGGAATTCTTATGCTAAAATAATGTGAGCACGGCTGCCACAACTGCGACGGCTACCACAGCCAACGATCGGTAATAAATTTGTTTCGCTACCATCTCTCAGCCTAACCCCAAGCCGGACAGAGCCCGAGTCAGAGCCAGAGCCAGAGCGAGAGCTGAGCTGGAACCCGTCTGCCAGTTGGTTGGTTGGTTGGCAGTGGCAAAAAGACTTGATGTAAATACGCACACGGGAGCATGTCGCGCGTTTGTCCGTTTCTTTAATTCATGAGCAGCAGAGCTGAGGATCTCCTGGAGAACGGCTGCCGGACTGCCGGACTGCCGGGCTGCCGATCTGGCTGGCCGGCCAACTGTTTAGGTTCGATGAGGCGCGCAAAGTTGACCAACTGCGCGATAAGTCATTGAAAGTCAATAATATGTTACGCGCCTTTCATCGCATTGTATAATAGCAATAACAATAAGAACGTCGCCCCAACTCAGGAAGTTCCTGCTCTTGTATCTGTATCTCAACTTGTATCTGTATCTACAGCTGTGTGCGCGCGAGTGTGTGTGTGTGTGTGTGTGTGAGTATCAATGCAGTAGCTTCCAGCAACGATCTCGGTCACAGTCACGGCCACAAATTTGTGTCTTATTTGTGTCTTATTTATGACTCGAACTGTGCCGGCGACTATCTGAGATTTGTTTTTCATTAATTATGCATATTCTTAGCTTCTTTTGGGCCCCCGTAGCCGGTCCTCGGTCCTCGGTTCTCGCCGATGATAAATAGCCCGAGATTAATAAGGCGCCTGGCTAAATGGCGTGGCAAACATGCACATGTGAAATTAACGATTATTAAATTTGTTTTTTGATTCGTATCGGGCTCTGCTCATCGTTTTTGGCTGCAAGCTCACGTTTGTTCACTCGGAATCGAATCATTAGCATAAATTATGACTGTGCCTGCTGCTTGGCAGGATGAGAACAGACCAGGAGGAATCATTCGAATGGGCCAAGCAACGTTTTGATTATGTTATGTAACATTGATTCTTATCGCAGCGATTGACAGGGAGCCAGGGAGCAGTTAGTCGAAGGTAAGATGAAAGGATTCTCCTTGCACAGTATTTTATTATACCCTGAACCCATTAAAAATGGGTAAACAGGGTATAATGTATTTGTGCAAATGTATGTAACAGGCAGAAGGAAGCATTTCCGACCCCATAAAGTGTATATATTCTTGATCAGCATCAATAGCCGAGCTGATCTAGCCCCATCCGTCTGTCTGTCTGTCCGTATGTATGAACGCAAGGATCTCAGAACCTGTAAGAGCTAGAGACGTGAAATTTTAGCTGTCGGTCCTCCTAGTCCTTGCGCAGATCGAATTTGTTTCCGATATTCGATAACTTGTCCCGTTTCCAAGTAATCGATAAAAATATCGAAATTCTGTTTTTTGATCAATTCCGGCAAATAATATGAGCTAGAGTCACCAAAATTGACATGTAGCTTCTAGAATAATATATCTATCAAGTATCTTTCGTTTTATAGGGTTCAGGGTATCCCCTAGTCGGGAGCTCCCGACTAGAATCTCTTACTAGTTTATATTCAAATTTATGAACTTCCAGTAAAGTATCTGAAAGTTTTGTCAAATACATCTTCACAAGCAAAAACTGTTATTGTCTGTTGCGCTCTTTGATTTCTTTGCATTATTAGACTAAGAAGTTTTCTTTTGATTCAAATTCATGAGATACGAATGTTTCCAAAGTCGAACACTATGACATATCCTGTCTGTGCTTGGAATAGCTCTGGAATTTCTTAAAAAAATCGCTTAAATAATGACAAAACTAGTCTTTGTCAAGATCTTGTATCTGAACCTTTATATAACCCCAACACACACACATAGTTCTACTTAGTATATCATTCTCAATAGGAAAAGAAAACGCAGTTCGGCATTTTGATTGTATTCAAATTGTTTTTATTTTAGTCATGTTTTGTTTTTGTTGCATTTCAATTTGTATAACCTAATTTGTGAAATTCAAAATTGAAGATATTAAACAAAATAAATTCTAGCTTTCAAATTTATGTCCAAGTCGTTAACTATACAAGAAATGTTGATTATTATCGTTAGTTTCATTATCGCCGTAGTAAATTGTTACCAAAAAACTCTAACGCAGATAATGCATAAGAATACATATATATATATTCATATATCTGTATATATTTATATATATTTAAGTTTATATGTACTTGTGTGTGTATATATATATATGTATATATTTAATTAATATTTATGCGTGTCTAACTTGCTGATATGGGATGCTAAAATTATGGGGTGTACAATACAATACAAAAATTACACAATTTTAATACGCGAATTGTTTACATTATAAGAGTAAAAGTAAATTTAAACCTCACAGACTCACTTTAATTACAAACAAATTTCATAATTATTCAAATTTCAGCAACAGTCAACAGAGGATATTCAATCTAATCTGGTTGCAATACGCGGAGGGGAAGGGGGGGAATCTGTGTTTAACATAAGTTTGCACATTTAAATTTATATTTTACTTAATATTAGCGGAGCGTCCGTTTATTGTTTGTTGTTGGGTGTTTCATTTCTTGGTTGTGATTTAGTTGCATTATTTGTTGAGTGTCACTTTCTATTTTTTTTTTTTTATACATCAACGAGAATTCCCCTCACACCTGCTGGCGCCGTGGGATAACACTAGAAGAGAGACCTCTGGCCGTCGAGCGCTCCTAGAACCAGTACAGATCCTTTGACGATTCCTGCACTTGAGCTTCCAGACCTTTGGCAAACAGAGGGGAAAAAGAACGAAACAAACAAAACACATTTTCATTAAAAAACACATCTCGGCACAGGTCAAGCGCTTCGAGCCGCACCATTGCCATGACAATGGCACACAAATGGACAAATGCCACAAGTCCTTAAGGCCGGAGTCGAGTACGCACCTGCCATTGTTGGGTAGCTCGAGTAGGCTGCCGCACTCTCCAAGGCATGTGCCGTCTGCTGGTCGTGGTGTAGTCTGCAATGAGCCAGAGAAGAGGTTTTTTTATTTTCATTTTTATAGCATGTACAAATTTTAAATCTCAATTCAAATGACATACTCTTTTCATGCTTAACTTCAAGAAATATTTTCCTTGAATATAATCAATTAAGGTTTTTTTTTGTATCGTTTTCACAATATGTCAGATATTATTTTTGCCTTATTATTCCGTTTTTCATTTTAAATGAAATTGTTATTATTATTTTTGACAGTACAAATATCCATGGCTATATCCCTAAGACCTTCGCCTAAGACATACAAGACTCGATCCAGTATCATCGTATATCTTCCATAATTTATGTTATTTTATCGGTTCGAAAATCCAAATTTGTTTGATGATTTTTCTTTAATATCTCGTGTAAATATTGTCTGATTTTGAAATTTTATACGATTTTGAATTCGTACGGATCCCTATTCAAACGGATCATTCAAACATTTTAAAAATCGTTGGGTTAAAAAAAGTTGTTGACCAAAAAACGATTCGTTTGTAATTAATCAGTTAATTGTATATCTCTAAGAGCTAAAGTAGTTTTATTTATTATTTTATTCTATTCTAAGCGTATATAACGCAGTCGATTGAACTGTATTAATATTTTGAAGCCTACCCCATTTATGTATACAACATGTTTGTTGGCTAATAGTATTAAAAGGCTTGCTTTAGCATAATTGAGATAATAGAGTAATAAAAATAGTTTTAAACAATTGAATGCAATCTTTATATAGAGCCTGGAGGGGTCTTCGTCTATTTGGGGTGCTCGGGGATTTGCTTACCTTGTGCCGTGGCTGTACTGCTGGGGCAGGCGCAGCAGGCTGCCGTACTGGGCCATGTTGTGGTGGTAGGCATGCGCGTGGGCTGCATGCGCATGCGCCGCATGCGCGTAGGAACCATAGTGCGCGGCTGCCGCATGCGGCACCCAGGGATCTGCGGCGTAGCCAGTGTCTGACGCGGTGCCGTACAAGTCGCTAACCTGGATATGGACAGAGATTGCAGAGAGATATTGCCGGTCAGCGAAGCCCGAATTACAACTTATTTAGAATGCGTGCGAGTTGCGAGTGCGTGTGTGCGAGTGTGTCTGGAGCTGGACCTGCTCGAGGTGGACTCGTAATTGCGGCACGTATTGCAGTTAATCGTTTTCGTGGTCGTGGCATTGTTTGGCAGCCGACACTTACCTGTGGATGTGTGGGGGCGGGTATGGGATGCACGTAATTGCTGTTCCAGAACGATGGTGGGAAATTGCGACTCGACATGGGGCTGCTGCTATCTGAAAGAGTCGAAACCAAAGAATATCGTTAATCCACATGGTCTTGCATTTGAATTCCCCGCCCGATCCGATTGTAATAGGCCCAACCTGGGGAGTGCCAACAGCATTGGCAATTTCAATTCAAGTGCATAATGATAAACTGAGCATCTGCTGCTGCTGCTGCTGCTGCTGCTGCCGGGGACTCACAAATGGGAGCCGAGGGAACGGCCATGGCCACGTACTCAGTTGTCGTCGGCGCCATGGCTTGTTGCAAATAACTGAGCGGAATGTTTGTTGTCGTTGTCGTTGTCGCTGTGGTTGTCGCTGCCGTGTTCGGGATCATCACTTGTATTAAATGGTTGTAAATCTACGCGTTTATGAAATCGCAAAGACGAACACGCAGACATCTCCATTACGTGGCAACTGGCAGCGGCACCAGCGGCGGCAAGCACTTGGAGCGAGTGTAATGGAGCTCGGCTGCTTGAAAATTGTTGCCGAAAATAGCAACAACTTTTGGTTGGCTGCCTCGCTGGCGTCTGTGGCATGCACATGTGCCAAGGACTGCAACTGGGGACTGGGGACTGGGTACTCGGGACTGGCACAGGCACTGGGACATAGGCGCATTTGCGTTGACAACATTCCAAACTCAATTCAAGAGAAAAATATACAACAACTGCTGGGCTTCTGGGCGGGGTGGGTTGTGGCATTGGGAATAGAGTCCAAGCGATAGGGACGAGGTGGAGGAGGCAGTTACTGAGGGTAGCTGCAGCTTCGAGGATGTGTTTGAACTCGCAAGTCGCAAGTTGCAAGTCGCGAGTCGCGAGTCGCAAGTTGCCCGGCACGTTGTGAGTGTGCCTTGAATGCTGATGATGTGGCTGACTGGCTTGTGACTTGGTTGGTTGGTTAGCGATGCCGCGTGCCCCATTCAGCCGCGAAGCCTGGCAAAAAGTCGTCATCGTCATCGTCGCCATCTTCAGCTTTAGCTTCTGCGTCGGCGTCATAGTCATTCACTCACTCGCTCAACTGGCGGCCAGGAATTCCCATTAATGTGCAAACAAGCAGCCGCAGTTGCAGTTGCAGTTGCAGCCAGCGCTGGCAAAGATTTGGCGACGCTTCTCTGCCCTCCCGCATCGCCTGCACGGTTTTCACTTTCATGCTGGCACTCGGAATTCAAAGCGAAAGCCGCAAAGGCTGCAATTGCTGCTGCTTCTGCTGCAGCTACCTGATGGCCGCTCACCTTTCACCTGATCTTGCCGGCCGCCCCTTAATGAAGTTGCACCGTTAACTGAATTAACTGCGATGCTGATAAGCGCCGATCACACGACCCTGGCCACACACTGACCGTGTCCTTTTAGACGACCCATCCAATCCCAACCACATCTGCAATAGGATAGCGCGTTAACCAAATGGGAGCGAGAGAGTCAACTTGAATTTGGTGCTCTGTTTAGGGTTCGGGTGCGCGGGTCTTGCATCTGCGCCAGCAGCGGCGGGTGCCAAGGAATTTTAAATCGAATTCTTCAAGCATCTAATTAAATACTCGTAGCATTCGAATATCATATGAAAGTGCCACAAAACCGAAAAACAGGGCCCCGAGGCACAACTGAAGGCTGCAGCTGAGGACGTCGTCTCGGGCCGGGCCAGCCGCATCTTTAGGGTGTTGCTTGCATCGATGTCGACGATATTTTAAGAGCCAGAACAGAAGCCACAACAACTGAAAGTGCAAGCGTGCCACTCAGCGTGTGTGTGTGTGTGTATCTGTGTGTGTGTGTGTGTCATGCAATGCGTTGTGAGTGTATCTCGAGTGAGCAGTTAATTGAAATGCATTTTAAAACCGTAATGAGGAATCTATGCGGCATTCGGCATTGGCACCGCCAGACGAACCGCACAACAACAACAACAGCAGCAACAACAACAGAAATAACAAACAGCAGCAGCAGCAACTGCAACAACAACAACTGCAACAACAACAACAACAACAACATCGACCACATCGCATTCCGGCGACATTTTATAGCACATTCCAACTAGATATATATACACACACACAGACAGACACACACACCTCATATATATACATATCTATTCATATACATATATATATATATTCGTATATGCATGTATATTCGCACAACAACAACAAGCTGCACATCGAGATAAAGAGAAAAATCTATATAAATACTGAATAGTTTTTAAAGCACGTACACCAATGCAAAACATGTGTGTGTGTGACTGTGTTGGTGTCTGTGTGCACGTGTGTGTGTGTGTGTGTGTGTGTGTTAACCACTCAAATAGACAAATGGCCAAAATGAACTTTAAATACCATTAAGTAGCGTCACAATAAAGCAAAAACAAAAAAAAAATAAAATGAAAACGTGAACAAAGTATTTATTTTTATTTATTTATTGTTGTTGTTTTCTTTTCGCTTGAATTGCGCAAGTTTCGCGACTTGAACAACAACAACAAGAACAACATTAGCCAGTAATTAAAGCCTCATATTAACAACAAACACAATTTTGAATACACAAAAAGCAAAATTGTAATTTAATTGAGGCATTGTCTAATTTACTTTGTTTTACTTTTAGTCGAAGACAGACGTTCGCATTTCATTTGAGAATGCATTTAGAAAGTTTCTTCTGAATGAAAATGTACTATTTATTTCAGCCTAGTTAATATATATATAATAGTTAATATAACAGCCTAATATATATCCATCTGTTTGTTTCTATTAAAACTAGTCTCTCAGTTTTAAAGCTATCGTCATTAAACTTTGCATAGCTCTGAAACCGGATCGGAGAACTATATTATATAGTTGACATATGACAATCTGTCATAAAGTAGGTTCTTGTATGGCAAAAAAACGGTTTTCAGGGTTATTTATACCAAACTCTGCATTTATGAGCTACACAATGCTCCAAAACCAGAAGACAAATGTGTACAAAAGTATTAAATTTTCGACGGGCCAAATATATCCTTACTGTCTCTCTTTTTTACCGTTAATATCTTCATCAAGTTCACTAACTACAAACAACATTTAGTGGTCCCATAAGATAATATAAATAGAGAATATTAATTTTTAAACAAATGTATTTTTGAAATAAATCTGCGTGCTACATGTAGATATAGAGAAACATAATGAAGATCTGCTAAGCGCAAGCTCATTATTTATTTATTTTAAAAAATATATAACACATTCAAGTATTAGCAGGAATGTACTCTATTCTATACTACTATTCTATCAGAATATTGCAAAATAATTATAAATTGTTTATACCCAATCTCTCTTTGTAAACATATTTCACATAAGCAAAACTATAGAAGGGGATGGCAGACACACACAGACAATCTGTTTAAGGGAGCACACTCCAATTGGAAAACTGATTGCAGCTGATTGGATTTATACAGCCAACATAAACGTGAATTTGCAATTAACGCGTGTCGAATGAAATTTGACGAAATTGCACAATCAAAGTGGAAGCCCCGTGAGCCATAGACATGGTCATGGCATCCACCAACCCACCCCCGAAAAACGCCCTTCCGACTGCCACCACACCCCCCCCCCCCTTCCCCACCCAACCAAATGGCAGCCACAGAAACTCAATAAAAGCCAGCTGAGCAGTAAACGCGATTCTCTCCGATTAGCGGTAAAAATAAAATAAGCCACAAAATGTTCGAGTGCTCGTTGATTGGCCGAAATTGTGGCCGGAGAAGCTGAGCTCAGCTCAAGGACACGTACGGGACATTAGCGTACCTGGCGGCGTTACCTGCTTAGCATGCAAATGTGTGCGTCGACTCCCAAAAGTGATAATTGATTGATTGGAGCAGTTGGTCTAATTCAAACCAGGGCTGCAAATTCAAAAACAATTTGTCCTATGAGTTTTCAAAATTTAATTGAAACAATTTAATTTTTAATTTATTAATTCCTGTTCTACTGAAGGGAAGCCGATCATGCCTAAAAGCAGCTCTTATTATAATCCGAATATGAATAGTTTCCCTATAATTGTAAATAATGCTCTTTCAGATGAAGAAGGGTTATGTCTTTGATAATATCTGATCGTTAAAACAGAGTCTATTGAAACTAACACTGCAAATATAGTCAAATATCTAAGAAATAAGTTTCCTACTCATGTTATCTCGTAGGTGCGTTTATTATTTATTGTATCAATTCCATTTCAGATTGATTTAGCAGTTAGTCTAATTGAAACCAAAACTGCAAATTCCAAAACAATTTTTTTTATAAACTTTTAATTTATAATTTCCTGTTCTACTGAAAGAAAGTATTGGTAGCCGCACATGTTTCCATGGGATTGGGTCTGCTTAGAATGTCTTTTATTTTGAATCCGTTGAACCTGGCTTTTTGTTTGGAAATAGCTAGTTTGGTTTAAGGCTAAGTTTATGGTTAGATATAAATTGGAATTCCGCTCAAAACAGGTTTGTAGCCTTCAATCCAACTAGCTGCTAACCCCAAATGGACATGATCTTTGAAGATGCAAAGACAATGAATTGTATACACTTTGCAAATATATAAAAATAAAACGAATATGAAAAAGTACTTTTGCGACAGTAGCCAAAAGATATAAGAGATGTGCAGACATTGAGACGGGGGAAGGGCGGCGGGGACGGCGGGAAAGCGGGCGAGCAGAGCGACAGGCATGAACAAACAAAACGTTTATCTTCATTAAAGGAGGTAATTAATTTTGAAATCGAAAGAACAACCGAGTGGCAAGTGGCAACTTGATTTATTTGGTTTATTGTGCGACGCAATGGCATCCAACGATGAACAACACTGAACAACGGGGGAAACTGCAAACAAAAAAAACGGAGGAGGCATCGGGGTCTTCGGGAGGAATACGTACTGCAAGACTGTATTGTCTGCTTAAAGGCAGCTCTTATTATAATCTGAATATGCGAGAGTCATTTGAAAAGTTTCCCTAAAACAATGCTCTTTTCTAGATGAATAAGGGAAGAATGTCTTGTATCTGATTGCTAAAACAGAGTCTATTAAAACTAACTAAGTCAAATATCTAAGAAATAAGTTTCCCACTCTTATTTATTTATTATACAGCCCTGTATATGAGAGAACGTGCCCCTTTCCCTGCCCTCCCCCGTTGCCAAATCCACTTTCATTACCAATTGCACGCGACATTTTAATAACTCGCTCTGATTCTTGGCTAATTATGAGATTTTGTGCCCTATTCTCCGGCTGTGGCTGCGGCTCCGGTTCTGGTTCTGGTTCTCTCACTGGGCCTGATTCTGGGTAATTGTGAACGCCAACACGCAAACTGACAGCTGGGACAAGTACATGACATGCGCGGGTCTTTTGATCAACATGTAAATGTTGAGTGTGGGCCGAGGGGTTGGGCAGAGGCTGAGGCTGAAGCGGAGTCACGCGGATGACATGGCAGATTTGCTGTGGCGAAGGACTACCTACCTTTTGCTTCCTTATTGCTGTAGTTGAGCGCCCGAGAGAAATGCTCGTCCACAACGCTGGCCGTGTCGCCCGAGTAGTTGGTGAATACAACGCAGGTGGCCGACAGATACTGAGCGCGTCCTTGACTGCCGCCGCCGCCGGCGACGCCGCCGCTGCTGCTGCTGGTGTCCAGTGGCAGCTCCTTGGACATGGCGCCCGTGGCTGGGCCGACGCCCGCCGAGGAACCTCCCCCCGTTCCGTGCAGCGAATGCGGGTGCGCGTGCGGATGCCGCGGCGAGTCTGGGCCAGAGGAGCAGGATGATTCATTGTGATGATGCTGTTGGGAGCCCACCAGACGCGCTGCAACAGAGCCAAGTGCAAGTGCATTACATTATTGACAAATCAGTAAACAGAAGAGGGAGAGAGAGAGAGAGAGAGAGGGAGAGAGAGAGAGAGAGAGAGAGAGAGAGAGAGAGAGAGAGGTGTGAAGCAGACCGCATTGTTGCATGTTCTCAGCCGCATTTCCGTAATAAAATATGATATAAATTATTAAATGTTAACTCGTCGGAATGTCGGCGAACAATCTCAAAAATGTGCAAATTAATTAGCCTGCTTGCAGCTCTCTTTCTCTCTCTTTCTCGCTCTCTATCTCTATAAATATATACATCTTTCTCTTTCTATATCTCTCTCTCTATCTCTCTCGCTCGCTCTCCATCCCGTTCTTCAGTACATTTAAACGGCAGCACATTCCAACCATTGCGAGCAATCGATCTTCGATGCTGACAGCAGAAATGTGATTATAAATGCTTATTTTTATTGGATTTATCTCTTACTAAGATGGATATAAAAAAAAGTATATATATAAACATATCTGTGCACACATAAAAATAAATCGTAGAATGTTTGTTTTGCGCTGTCAAGAAAACTAAATTTTCTGCTTTTTAGCTTGCAATATGAAGCCTCAATTTGAAGTACGTAAATATCGTAAATATACCTGAAAATCTTTACGAATCATAGTATTCACTATAACTGCCTGATCTAGTTATCGTATATCACAACCTTAGACTGAAAACATATTAGATTTATAATTTAATTATTGATATATCAAATTAAAAATTATTTCCTCTAATATACATTATTCTAGCCTGTTACGTCTCAAAATAAAAAAACTATTCTTAAATATTTATCGATATTTTGTTGCTAATACGGATCTCTATATATTAAAACATATATTGAACAAACATGAAAACAAAATTAAGACTTTTTAAAGCAGTATTTGATATAATTATTATAGCATTAAAGAGAGAATGGGTTAAGTACAAACAAATATTCTGATATTAGTTAAATAAGTATGCATTGAGTATAACTAAAAAGAAGATTCAAGAATGTAGAACTGTATGCTAACTCGGCTACTTATGTAAACATATTTGGGAAAACGATTTATTTCTTAAATTAAATAAACATATTTTATATTTTATATCTATATCTATCTTTTTTCCTGACCTTACTTATCTATTTATCAGTTAAATTAAATGAAAATAATAAACTTTTAATATTTTATATTAGCGGATATTATCAGCCTCGCCTAGTTGCTTTTTATCGAAAATTGTAGACATAACTTTTCCATTCATTCCCCGCCCGCGAGCAATTTAATAATTATTTATTGTAATTTAATTTACATAGGTTATTGAAAATAAGTTTAAAGTTAATCGGATGAAAATTCATTTGCTTATAATATATAATAATAATTCATTTGCTTATAATATACAGTTTTGTAAATGAGCTTTAAAATTAAACTTTAGACTTTGACCCCATTTTCCAACCAAGCGTGGTGGATTTGGCGAAAGGGTGAATGTGTATCAATTGAGATTTCATGAAAATCTCAAATCTTTGGTACTTATTTCCACGAAGGCGTGGCTTTTTCGAAAAGTGTGAAAAACGTCTCATATTAGTTGTACTAACATCTTTGAAACTGAGTTTGGTGACCATCGGAAGGTAAACAATAAAGTTTCATAAATATCATGACCAACATTTACCCTGATCTAGCCCATGCTTAGTTTACGTTAAAAATATTTTGTTACCGCAGTTTTTCACTATTTTTCCACACGTGTGGATGGATTTTCCTGAACCCTCATCTTAGCGCTCACCTTTATCACATAAGTTAGCTATAGTAAACATTTCAGCTTTTTAGCTCTTACATTCTGACTTTAAAGACGAATTAAACACAATTAAAATTTAAGAGATAAAAACATTGCTTGGGCAAAGTCGTATTATAGCACCAATAAATCAGCAAAGTTTACTTCATTTGTATGTATGTATGTATGTATATGTGTGCATAAGACAACAACATAAATAAAAACTTGCATAGTATTTATTTAAATACATAGTATTTATTGTCTTATGCTAAATACAGGCCAAGTTTTCCTTACATATTTAATTAAAGCCACACCGCTGCTTGGCAAATTAAAAAAACACATTTTTAAATGTCGCTCTTCTATGCGATTCTCATGAATTCAAGTATGACTTTCATGTTAAAATGCTATGATTATAAGTGTTATATTAACTGGTTGTATTGGTAATCTAATAAGCTTTATTTCTGCTCAGACTCACATTAGTTTTACTCGCTTGCTCTGTCTTTCTCCCTCACCCTATCTCTCTATAGTTTTTCTTCTGCTAGTGATGTGTCTCCCTCCTACTAAAACGTTTTCTTCTACTAGAAAATGAAAAAATTTACCAAAACACATTTTCTGCTGCCAGTTCTCGTTTCGAACCGTGCTCTAGCTTCTCATAATATTTACTTTTCTGACTTACCTTCAGCTTCGCTGCGCGGCACGATGAGATCTTCTTCTTTGGTTTGATGTGTCCGGCTGTGGATGCCGTGGCCGGGTCCGGCGCCGCTTAGCACGGGACTCATGCCAAGGCCGGCGCTGGCGGCGCTGCTGCCGATGGGCAGATTGGAGCCAAGTAATCCGCTGGCAGGTCCGCCGCCAACGCCGCCGCCGACTGGGCCGAGCTGCAAGCCGGAGGAGGAGGCTTGATTGGCCACCGCCGCAACGGCTGCGGCCGCTGAGTTGTGGGCGGCGGCAACGGCCGCTGCGGCTGCATTGGCGCTCACCGAGGGCGGCAGGATGGGGCTGCAGGGCGAATGCGAGCTGCCAGAGGCGCTCGACGAGGCGGCCAGCTGCACGCCCGAGGACGAGTACAGATCCTGGTTGAACTGCAAAGACACAGAAGATTGCATTAGTTGCGAGTGCATGCGCCAGTGTCGGCGGTTGGGGAAGATGAGTTATGGGCGCGTTGGTGCAAATTGAAAATGACACAATACGAGAATTTATGTTGATGGAAAATGCAGCGAGGCCATTAAATTTACGAGCGTTCGCATATTGTCACGCAGTTGCCCCCCGAAAATGGGCCACGGGCAGGGGCAGCCGTGCGGGGAGCTAACCCATTGGGGAGGAGGTCACAGCCCGAAGCCGTTCACAGGGCGATAATCACGCCGCAATCTCCCCGGCTTGGCGACGTGTCAAACATAATGCGGCGCTCGAGACAATTTACGAGCGCAGCGCAACACCTTCTACCCCCCCTCCCCCTCCCTACTGTTCGAGAGGTGCACCTTCTCCGGGTGCGCGTCTTGCTCTTTAATGAGCCCATTAGCGCAAGCGTTCTATAAGTGGCCGATAACCCGATGAGGGAGCTGTCGTTTCGGCACATTTGCGAGCAGGCGCTTCTAAATTTAAACCCGGCCACGCACCGGCACCCGCTGCCCCTGGCCCACGCCCACGTGAAGGCGCACGCCAATTATGATGCTGCCAGGGGTTAATAATGGGTTAACCAGCACGATCCATTTGAAAAGTGCAGCGGGCATCGACAGCTCGTGGCCCGGCCATGATTTATGTGCAGCAACAATGCGCCGCCTGGGCGTGGGTGTGTGCGGCGAGTATCTCGTAGATACATTCCACAGCAGCAGCAGCTGACACAGACGCTTCGGCATCTCACTTTCGGCTGCGGCTTGTTTACAAAGTCTTAATTTGTTCCCCCAAGTGCTAGACGACCTAATTAGATAAGAGCATAGTGGCAAGTCATGGCGGGCGCAGGACACGCCGTCTATGACAACATTAAATGTATCTGTGTCTGCATCTGTATCTGTATCTGCATCTGGATCTTTGGCCGTCAATCGGTTTAAGCACATAATCAATATGTTGCCGCTGCCGCTTATCGGGCGACACGATCGCTGCCCAACTCCAGCCAAATTGGCCCAGCCAAAAGCCAAGTGCCAAGTGCAGTAGCCGACGTGCGAACAATGCGCAGATACAAAAGTATCTGCAAGGGCAGCGATTGCAGCTGCAGTCGTTGTCGCTGTCGCTGTTATTAGCTGCAGCGATATTTCGATTATGCTGAGCGGTCCTCTCGAAGCTCACACGGCATAAATCACCCGGCCGGGCAGACGAACCTGCGACATCTCGAGTCCAAACTTTGCTCTCTCTTGTTCTTCTGCAGGGCTGCGACGGAGTTATCTGATCGCAGCTCGGGCTCGCTCGCGCGTTTTGATGTGCTCGGCAAGAACTAATGGCGATACACACAATAAATTAAGAGAAAGGGAACGGGCCTCTACGCAGGGGCCTGCCAAAAAAGCCAAGTGTCGACGGGACGACAAAACTGTGCGCAACTCTGCCACAGAGCCGCAGACTATGGGCAAATAAACCGGTCACCGGTCGCCGAGCACCCGATCACCCGATCAGCGCTTACCGGTCACCGGTCACCAGGCTGGCTGCTGACTCAATCTGCGATTGGCCGGCCCGAGCCGAATCCTACACCGAACCCTAACCCTAAGCCGAGACGTGCGTATGGCTGGCTGGCGGTGGAGCGTCGTGCGGCGATCCTGGGTTTATCTGGGCCTCTTTATGGTCATGCAAAAGGCATAGAATCAGAATCGTGTCGTATCGGTTACTTACATAAAAGGCCAATTTCGATTTGGTGCCGCGGCCTTGTATAATTGGAACTTGCGACACAAGAATTTCTTTGTGCCACAGCGACAAGCTCCAAACACCGAAATGTAGACGGAGACCCAAGTCCACTGGCCAGGCCCCAGCCCCAGACCCAGAGCCAGAGCCAGAGCCAGCGTCCCTTTTGGGCAACTGTGAAGCGCTTTTGGCATCGTGAGAACTTTTCTGTACTTGTCACAAAAAAATCACAGATATCTTCGAAATCAATGTTAGCAAAAAACGCAAACAAAGCGACATTTGCTGGCGGAATTCCTTGAATCTTCAAGACTGCGTCCACATTGGAAAACGATTTGCGTTTTGCGTGAATTCTTATGATTTGTTTGGCGGATTTAATTATGCCCAGGCCCAAGGCGAACAAATTGCCGGCAAGGGGAAGCCACTCGAATTGTGCGTGCTGCATAATTATTATGTTAGTGCACATTTAACTAACCATAATTAACTAAAAGCCACAATCTAAAAGCAATTATTTTGTTTGGATATTATGTACCTATAACCTTTTATTGGGATGCAAGCAATATATTACCTTGGTTCCCTTTGACTTAGGTTAAAGTTCCATATCGCTGGCCATTTTATATTATACATTTATTTTTCATTTATTTTCTTTCAAGTTAAACTTAAATGTACCTTCAGATGTGCTGTTTCAAATATCGAAAGACTTACGAAGGCCTCATTACGCATTATACCGAATGCGTTAAAACTTAGATGGGTGACACTTTATATTAACAAGGCCAAGACTACAAACAGGTTTTCGATTGAACCTGAATTTGTTAGCGATGCCAATTTTTTCTATGCCATAAACCGAACCCTCAACTGAAGCAATTGCCAAAGAAAACATCCAAGGTTAAAAAACAACAAAGCCATAGTAAAAAAAATAATTAAATAGAGGGTAGACCCGAGCTAAGATCAGGTGCGTAGTTGAAAATGTGAAATAAAATAATAATAAAAGACTTTATATTGAACCAATTGGCACCGAATATATATATCGCCTCACCTTAGAAATCTATAGAGGATTTTATGCGTCTTTATTTAAAGCACGCAAAGATATGACTTCCAATGAACTGTTGAATTCTTACTCATATAATATTGAAACAGACATCTCTAACCCCATCACATGTATATATTTTTCATCAGGACATCGATTAAGATCAGTTCTTTTGTCTGTCTTTCAATGGAAAAAGGCTCTCCCTCCCTTAATGCTATGCAGATTAAACATGTCATGGATCTGTCTTTTATACTAAAAACAAAGCATATGTATTTTAATCGGAGTACATTTTTGGAAAATGTGGCAGCCCAAGTCAAAGTTTAGGGATGCGAAAAATCTAGTTTTTGAACAAAATCTGAAGGCAAGTATCTTTAAACTGAACCACCACTGAAAAAGCGTTATAATCCCATTAGGTTAAATTTGGTAATATTTTAATAAGAGCATAATGTTGATGAAAAATGTCCAAAAAATGGTTCCCCAAATGACACAAAATGAAAATTCATCTTAATTTAAAAACATATCCAGGGAAAACCAATAGTATTGATAGAAAAATAAACTATAACTAGACTCAACGAATTTTGGGTTTTTCCTTTTTTTATCCCTTCAAGAGAAGTCACAGTTATTGATCCTTAAGTCCTGGAAAATACGTGCTTATAGCTAACGTGGTGAAAACTTACCCTCTCATATTGATAAAATGAACGACTAGGTCCTGCGCGCCCATACAGATATGGATAATAGGCACCGTACATTACTTCTGGGCAGGACACTGCCATCGTCGCAGTTGCAGTTGCAGTCGCACTCAAATCCCGATCTGTCGATTGAAATTTGTTCACTTCGATGTATTCCAACGATTGTAGCACACGTACATACACGCACGCACACACTCACACGCGCGCACAGTAATCACAGTAATCACAGTTTTCCGTGAGCTTTTCCACAAATTTTCAGCGCTCGCAGCGCCTTTTCCAATTGCCGTTGGCCGTATTCAGTTTTTCGTTTTCCGTTTTCTGTTTTCTGTTTTCTGTTTTTGGAATCGCTTTTTTAGCCGCCTGCAGCAGTTGCAATGGCCGCGCCTGCGCCTAGGCCTCAGCCCCGGCCTGGGCCTGGCTCTGGCTCTGGCTCTAGGCCGACAAAAATGATATACTTATATATATAGAAAAAAAAAGTAGCTAAACTCAACTGCCGGCCAGTGGAGTAAAGTGGAGTAATTATAAAACCGGCTCGGACTGAAGTTGCAGTAGCGTGTTTTGTTATTGTGTTTGTGTTTGAGTTTGTGTTTGTATTTGCCGCTGACTTCGTTTGGCAATGGCGAATTCCAGGAATGAAAACTCCGTTCGGCTAATTATATTTACATATTGTAAAACACCATCGCGTTTGTATCAAGAGCTTTAATTACTTTTCGTCTTTATGTTTTTGTTTGTTTTTTTTTTCTCTCGATCTTGTTAAAGCGTTGTTGTGCGTTGTTTTTCTTTAGCGTTTTTCTTTTTGCTGCTTTCTATGAATTTTCCTTGCGTTTTTTTTGCTCTTCAACTTTCTTCAGCCGCTTTGCTTTGCTTCTATGCGCAGGCGATTGCAATTATCATTTCCACATTCTTGACTGCTGTTAGTTGATTTTGTTTTTGTTGTTGTTGCTGTTGTTGTTGTTGGTAGTTGCTATTGTTATCATTGTTGTTGCTTTCCTGGCATCCATTATGGGGCCGTTCCCTTGTCCGAGTTTCCGTTGAAAAATTGCAAGCTGTGGAAAAGACAAGGCAATGAAAGGCATTAAAATTGTTGCTTGCGTCAAAATACGAGTTCCTACACATAATTACTAATCTTAATGGTGCATCAAAGCCCTCAAAGGAAAATCTCCAATCTATAACGGATCTGCATATGCACATATATATCCAGGGAAATGTATGAGAACATATGTTCAAATACGTTTCAGAATAACAAATACTTTTATCAAAGTATATTGCAATATGAATAAATATCCTTGTAGAGAGTATGATACAATTTTTAACAAAATGTGTATAGGCGATATTTTCAGAAATTCAAAATATATATTTTAAATCAATTTCAATCAGCAAATATGCAAGGATATTTAATCTTCAACAGCCCTAAGATAACTTATATTTCATCTTTTGGTATTTGACATAAAGAATTATATTTTTTGGCTCGTCAATGCTAGTTTATAGACCCACAAATTGTCTATTTTAAAACCAAAATTGCCATAAATTATATCAATAATAACGATAACAATTATAGAATTGAGTTTAAATTTTAAAAAGTGTAATGTCAGACTTGTTTTAATATGAAATAAAATTGTTTACGCCTCGTTGTTCTATGTGCAAAAGTAGGCTATGAATCCCAAATAAAAAATGAATAAGCACAATTAATGGGCGTATTTCTTTAGGTCGAATTCTTGAACTGATTTTTTGCTGCGTCGTCTTAAGTCAATTTTTTATTATTTAATGATTTGGTACGCTGCAGATAACTTAGAAAGTACGACAAGCAAAACAAGTGAAAAACTAACAATTTTATACTTTAACTATAATTCTTTCGTTATGCGCATATCGGTATTTGTAGGTAAAAAGGAATAACTTCTATAAATATACATTTATAGATTCAGAAGAGTTCATCTTTTATCTTAAATTCTACTTTTATGGATTTTCTAAAAGCCCGCCGGCAAATGCAACATAATATAAAACAATACTTCATGTCTGTTTTTTAATGAATGCATCTGACATTTAACTATTAAACCAAATTAAATGGAAACAAAATGATATTTAATTATTGCTTTAAGTTTCTTAACTTAAAGTTAATTGCAAGTTTAAAGACCGAACTGTTACTTTAATAAATAGGATTTACCTATGTTTATACAAAAACAGAATTTATTGATTATGCTTAAGTATATTTCAAAAGGCTAAGGGATCAATCTGTATGATTATAAAATATCAGAAATTACAGAGCTTTGTACTCGATAAGAATATGTGCTTTGTTCTTCATTTTATTTATCACTGTTCCCCTTTTCTCCGCCCGTGAGTAATTTAAAAGTCGATATCTTCTTATATAAGCATTTCATATTTAAATAAATAATAGAACCCTAACTTTCGCAAGCATGGGGTTGGGTATTTCAATATCGACGAAACTGGAAATAAGTCTAAAGCTGATCGGGACTTACGAAAATCCCATGTTAGTCATAGCCCTAGCTGGCTTACATCATAATAGATTATGTTTTCTCATTAGTCAGTCAGTTAAAAGGGAAACTTTTAGTTACATGACTTTAAAGGCTAAAGCTAGTGGCAGTTTGTGGGTAACAGGGGCAACACTATCTGGGAAATATGTCAGTGGGAATATAGGCAAAAGTTCTTAAAACTAAAGCAGTAATATAAATAATGCACTCTTTCTAACATTTACATATGCGCATATAGATAATTTCTATCCCATATTTATTATTTGTATCTTTCTCAGCTAAAACATTGATTGAGATATAAACCCCGTTCCTATATGCTATATATAGATTGTATATACTTACGAGTCAAAAAGTTAAATTTTATAATCCAATTAATGTTCTGATCTGTGAATTGGTGTGAGTTTTATCTGATTTATGCACTTTATCCATAAGCATATATACTTTAATTTGTATGGGTACTGTATAAAGAAAACACTTGGCTTTGTGATTCACATATGGGTATGGGTAAATTTCCACAGACAGTGACGGATTAATGCCGTCGTAAACACTCGCGTTTTGCGTATTGCTTGCAGTTAATTTAAATAGTAATTAAATTTATAAGCACCGGAATTTTCACGTGAATTTTTAAGATTTTAACGCTGCTTTTATGATTGCACGGGGTGCGGGAACGTTAACGGGAACGCGGGCGAGATCTGAAAACGAAGCGTACACAAAAACATTTGCTCGCGCACTCAATGAAAATATTTTCGCTAAATCCACAAATGCCAAATTCCATAAATTCTTGCGAGTTGGCAGCGCGGCAAAGGCGACGGCGGCGGCAGCGATGACAACAACGGCGACGGCGACGGCAACGGGAACCGCAACTGAGACGGAGACGGAGACGACCGATGCTCGCATTCACATTAGTTTACGTTATGTATGCAGCATCAGTTGAGCTTAAAGTGAAGGTGGAAGCGCATCGACGACGGCGACGGCGAATAAATCTTTTAATTGCACTCAAATTGAACTGCATTTGCTGCGATCGCTCACATTGACTGGGTCTGAGAGGGCGCGTAGAATGACGCGAGCGTAAGGCGATGCGGAACCGCCGCTGCCGCTCGATTGGAAGGGAGAAAACAAACTGGCTGCCTGCTGCTGGCGTTTGTTCGATGCATGCAGTCGCGACAGCAGCAGCGGCGCAGCAGAAGCGCAAACAAAATGGCATTTTGAGCACTTGCCATCTCACTTTCCGCTGCCGTCGCATGAATGAACCAGAGCGAGACAAATGCTGTGTGCTGTGCGCCAGCACTCAGCACCGCCCACTTTGCCAATGTGTGTGTGTGTTCGTTCCTGTGCCATTAACGTGCATTGGTTGTTGTTGTTGTTGCTGTTGCTGTTGTTGTTAGTATTGGTGCACGGTGTCTGAACAAACGATGCCGCGGTGTGAAAATAAAATGGAGTGCGTCTCAATTGTGTCTTGAAGTAGACGGACTCGTACTCGTGCATCAGCAAATATTTGCTCCTGCCCTGTTCTCCTCTCTTTTCCACTGTTCTGTTCTGTTATGGCTCTCGGCTCTCTACTCTGCTTGTCGCTCTGTTGTCTGATTTTAAAGTTCGTTTGCCGATAGCAGAAGCCACGCACAGTTGCTGTGCAACACGTACACGCACACAGATTGAAAGGAATTTGTATTCGTCCTTTTGTTTGACCGAAAAGTATTTGCCAACTGTGTCAACAGTGTTCCAGTTGGACACAACGTGACGTATACGTACTTGCGTACTGATAATAATCTGATTGAGACTGAATAAAATTTATTGTGTTTTCGTCGTTGACAAGGTGTGCACAGCGAACACTTGTCCGATAAGTTCAATAGTATGTCAACGGTTCTCAGTGAATCTTCATCAGGCTCATGGATGTGGCATTATTCTGATGGCTTTATAATGAACTCTTAATCAGTGGCTGACAGAATAAATTGTTTTAAGCACAAAGTAAGAATTTTAATTAAATCAATCAACATAATAATTGCTTGTTATATTGACAAACATAAATATTAAATTGAATTAAAAAGATTCTCGATGAGGTGTTTGAGGTAACTCTTCAAGCCTAATTTCAACCCAACGAATATGCACACTTATTGAAAAGCATTTTGAATTCCAATTGTAAGAGTAAGTTTGTATGAAAACAAGCAATAAAGCTTAAATATGGACAGCAAAGAATTTGTTCAAAAGAGTAAGAAAGGTTTTTTTTGGATAATTAAAAAGAAAGAAAAATTATTATGTGAAATAAATTTAGTTGGTCAGGGAAATATATTTATATTATGAATGTTGTCCAGATGCAAATTTTTTGAGATTAGGCAAACTCTCTAAATTATTGACAAAAAGGAAGCAAGAAAACCTTCCTTATAGGATATGTGTTTATTTTAACATCTATTTTTTTATGGAGGTGCCATAACACAAGACTTACTATCTGACTGATTGACTAGTGATTAACGTCAACGAAAAAACATATCAAAGATCTTTGTGGAAATTCAGTTGATGCGTGTTTCACACTTTTCGTAAAATCCAGCCCTCTTGGAAGTGAAATAGCTATAAAGGCGAAGTTTTGTATCCAATTTATATTCAAAGATCTGAAATGAAATCTCTTCAATTTCTATATATTTTAAGTAAATATATTATTACTCACACTGAACATAGCTAAAAAAGTTTCATAATTATAAAATGTGAAATGCATAGTGTCTCCTTCTATCCGTCAATAAGTATTTATTCTAGATCAGCATCAACAGGCGACTTGATATGTCCGTCTATCACTTTCTAAACTAATATTTAATATTTACATAGGTCTTTTTTTCTGTTTTTAAAGATATTTTCTTCAAATTCTCAAATATTTTCAAAGGTCTAAATCAAATGACTACACGGGTATTCAATCTTCGCCGTGCCGAATATATATCCGTACTTTCTCTGAATTAATAAATTAATACAAAAGCGCGGAGTTCATAATTTTGATACCACTTGAATTTGCATTCTTATTCATTTCACCCAGGCGACGCCGGTTAATTTCTAGTTGTTCATAATCTTAAAGTGTAAGAAACGTTAAAGGAGCAATTATACATATTCGTTTGGCATTTCAAAACAGGCTGTCGAATCGCCTTATAATAGAAGTCTTTGCAGCTTCATTCATGATTTCTGGACCTTCCTAAACTTTCCAAGTAAAAGATGGATTTCCTATCTTTGAAATTCTTAACAAATCTTAAGTACAAATAAGGAACTAGATAAGCATAGCAGGACAGCTCTTTCAGACATTAGCATAAAAACGCATCGTTATCCAAGTTTTGACAGCATATCTTACTTAAAAAAAAATTCAGAAATCTATAGTTTGTTGAGAGATTCGTAAATGGCTAAGTAAATCACTTTCTCACCATTTTGTGTCTCCAGCCTCTGATATCGATATAAACGGTGAAGCACTAGCTGACACTTATTCCCTTGTCCGAAAATAATTTTTAAGCAAATGCATCAGTTTTATAGCGAAAACAAGATGCTGCTCAAAATGCGTATCTGGGTGGCTGTGTACTTTTGTTTACACCTGTATGTCCGAAAGTATGTTAATAGGGTGATTATATTGAATACTAAAATGAATGTTTTACCATCTTGGCAATATGCTTTGATAAAAGAAACATCGAATTTTCAAAATACAACTTTGCTCTAAGGAGCCTGAGCTTGGCTTTTGTAGTGGATCCGCTTCCTGGTCTAAGGATCCGGTGCATTTTGCCCGGCTTTGTCCTTGCTAAGCAGAGTCAGGGATTTCACGGCAGAGAGCGATGTTATATTAAATGTCGCACAATGTGCGTCACGCCTCTTCTCTTAATCTAAGCAGCATATTAAATACCGAGTTTCGTCAAGATATCTTAAAAAAATGTTTTTCAGACAAAAACTTTAGCTTTAATCGATCTTGCCTTTAGCTATACGACATAGTGGTCCAATCTGACTGGATGCGAAATATGTATTGCCCGCAACGAAAAGGCGAACATGTCGAAAGCTTTACAGTTGAGAGACTTGTTCACATGGTTGGAGACAGACGACATGGTCATATCAGCTCGGTTGTTAATACTGATTAGGAATATAAATAGTTTTTACAGTCGGAGATGTCTCCTTATATTCATTTCACATTTCACGAGAAACTATAGGTCCCTCTTCTAAATGGGTTTAACTAAATGGGTTTCATTTCATGGATATACTAAACGAGGTGCCCGTAACAATTCATTTAATGTGTTTCACTTTGTTAGCTTTTATTAATTGGATTACTCATTTCAAAAATTGTCTCGCATAATAATCAAAAATAGTTACCGCTGTTAAAATCGTCCTTTTTTTCCTGCAACAGAAGTTACATTTGGTTATAGAAAATATGCACATTGAAATTACCAAACACACTTGCAAAGATTTATTTCGTATGGTTTTAAACACTTTGACCTAAACAGTCTTTACAAATTTTGTTGTCAGACAACTTTGCAGTATGCAAGTCCTTAAAAGAGGGTACAGACTTAGGGAGTAGCAGGTGTCTACTAAAATAATAAAATGTTGAGAGTTGGCGAAGGCTCACAGATTGGAAAGTTAGAGGAAAATAAAACATTGTAGCGAATTTCATTCAATAATATAGAAGTTTTTCTTTTTGAATCGATCACGTTTAAGGCGTTAACCGTTTGGGATCACGTGGGAACATTGACGTCTTTCTAATGTTATCCAAGCCAAGATACAACATAACGACACGCTCCATGCCAATGCCGCCGCCAGCGTGCGGTGGACATCCGTAACGGAAGGATTCAATGTAAGCAGCGATTTTCGTGGTGTCTGCAAGAATTGAAATGCAAAGGATAAGCTGGGTGCAGTAGCCTGGGTGCAATAATAGTGAGACCTACCAATGCCGTGGTGCTTGGCACGCTCAATTAAGTACTCGGAATCGTGTATACGTTGCGCGCCCGACATGATCTCTTCACCGCGCATGAACATGTCATACGAGTTGGAGTAGATCGGGTTGTTGGGGTCGGGCATCGTGTAGAACGGACGTATCGACAGCGGAAACTTGTCGAGGATGTAGAAGTCAGTGTCGTATTTGGCTTTCACCAGGCGACCAAGCAGCTTTTCATTTGGCGTTGACAAATCCTCTTCGTCACCAGTCTCGATGCCAGCTTCGCGCAGCATAGCCACGCCTTCCGCGAACTGCAGTATAAGTGGCGGCTCCAGAAACTTGAATGGCTCCACCTTGTACTGCTGGCCAACGGCTTCGATCTCTCGACTGTACTTGTCGCGCAGACCCTTGAAGATGGCTGTAAACGTGTTGCCAATCGTATGCAACACCTCGTGGTAGTGGTATTTGAATGCCATCTCCAAATCGAGTCCAACGAACTCGGTCAAGTGTCTGTGCGTGTTTGAGTCCTCTGCGCGGAACACTGCGCCAACAGTGTACACCTTGTCAAAATCGGCAGCGATTGCCATTTGCTTGTACAGCTGAGGAGACTGCGCCAAATATGCAGAATCTGGAAATGCCCAAAATTAAATCTCATCGGCAAAGCTGGTTAATATTTTCACAGAGAACTTACCCTTGAAGTAACTCACGGTGAAGACATTAGCGCCACCTTCGCTGGCAGCGGAAATGATCTTGGGTGTGTGGATTTCGGTGAATCCCTTCTCGGTCAGAATATCGCGGAACAAACGACACACGCCAGCCTCCAGGCGAAAAATGCCCTGATTTGCTGGCGTTCTTAAGTCGAGTACGCGGTTATCTAGTCTGGTGTCCTGGTTGACGCGTATGTTAAGTCCCTCGGCATCGTCTGCGTTTTCAGGTCGAGATGCGTCCTCAATTTGTAGTGGCAGCTGTGCCTTTGCCTGCGAAATGACGAAAATCTGCTCCACGGACAACTCCACCAACTGTTCTGTGCAGGACTCAATTCTGGTGGGCACAGACACTGGTTTCGCTTGGATATCGATAATGCTCTCCTTCGGTATGCTGCAATCAATAAATCAATCGATTACGCATACAACTCAATCAAATCGATACGCTTACTTTCCGGCAAATTTGACCATTTGCTTGGAGATGATGTCGCCCACTGCCAGAATGCATTGAACCGTGCTGCTCTGCTGGCGCAGAATAAGGAAGCACTGTTTGCCCTTAGCGCGCGACGTATGCACGCGGCCACGTACCCAGACCAGACCCTTGCCCACATGCGCATTCAGGTCGGGCACCGACACAAACTCGCGCTCGCTGCGCTTATCTTTCGACTGAATCATCTCGGAGAGACCGTAGCGGGCTGAAGCATGATCCACTGCATTGTCGCCGGCCGCATCGTCGGCGGCGAGGGCAGCGGCAGTTCCGGCTTTCTGCTCAGCTTTCTGTGCAGAGATAAAGTAGAAGAATTAATGAGCAATAACGGCAATAATCAATGTTATCAGCGGTATATAGCATGAGCCGAGACTTATGCCACGTCGCCACGCGCAGCTTACCTTGGCCGCTTTCGCTTGCTTCTTTGCTCCCTTCTTGGAGACCGGCTCCTGCCCAGCAGCGGCATTCGCACTGGCTGTATTCTCCTTTTCCTCGACCATTTTGGAATGCAACAAAGACGGCTGAAAATTGCGACAATTTTTATAGTTTTACAGACACATAAACCGCAAAGGTTGCGATAAGCAACAGGCGAGAGGGGGCACGCATTCGGCACTCAACTATTGCGTCACACACATACATATACAAATATGTATGTACTTGTATGCGAGTGCATGCGCTGTCTATAAAAATAGCAGCGAATGTAGCGTGCACTAATTTGCATATGCACTGCAATTGAAAGCCTTTGCTGCCGGTTTCATTCTGCAGTTCAGTCAACCCCACGCATCAATTTCCCACTACATATGGAAAGGAAGCCACCTTCTCTTTGTTTAGTGCGGCACTCACACATAACCTAAACATACAGCACTTTGACGACAAATTTCACCATTTTTGCCCTTCATTTATTGATTTTGGTTGCACTTGCAGGACGCTTACCAGATATTTCCTAGCCTTTTAATACACAAACGAATAGATTACACGAGTGTCGGGAACTATTGCAGCATGCTCGGCCGTTGTGCAGTTGGTAATATTTAGGCTATTTTTGGCCTGCTATCGATGGTTGACGGAAACTGTATTATCGATATATTTTAATGATGCATTAGCCGCCATGTAAATAATTTGAAAAATAATATACGAATCCACTTACAAATACAATAAATAATAAATGTTTAGCGTTTTGCAATTTTTACTTTATATGATGGTCAAATCTAAACTTACAGTTGATTCAAAAACTTACAGATAGCTAACGATACCACTTTACCAACATTGGAAATGCACTCCGTACTGAACTCAACACTTCTTATCGATGTTTTTGGAACCATGCTATATCGATAATATACTCATCACTAAGAAACGCAGTTTTCTGAAAAAACACTGAAGTGGAAGTTTGTTTAATTTGTTTTGCCACATTTCTGTGCGTATTTAATAAGGTAAATTTCGTCGATGGCTATTTTTAGAACAAACATTCTTTGTAAACATATAGAAACAAGTGTTTTTTAGTTTTTTTTCGTCGTTTTTGCCCCAATTAATCACTTAAGTGGTCTAGCGAGTGAGTCACCAGCCAATATATAACTGCTTTGCATTACTTTAAGCAGAAATGCGGGGGAAAATTTAATCATCTCGAACGAGTACAGTGGCTACATATCTGGTTAAACCTATTGATTAACAACTGCACACTTCCTTAGTATATGCAAGTATATGCACAAATATATAGCGACATCTATAAGTATGAATGGGGATTTGCAGAAGGTTCACACGTCATGTTTACTTTTTTCCACAACAAACCACGTATTTTAGGATTGGGGCAATTTTCTATTGCTGCCGAAATTCCCCTAGTAAGAGAATTCCCTTAAAGCCATTTAAATCGTAAGGAATCTGGTTTATTACCTGAGTCTATTTAAATTAGTTAAACTACTTCAGGGAAATAGTTTCATGTGCGTTTTCCCTTTTTAATATGTGTATATGTTACATTTGTTTTGATTTGCATTGGGTTTTTTATTATTTTTATTTTGCCTATGAAATATCCTGCTTCGCTCATTATTCTGAGTACAGTTCAAATAAATTTGTGGCAAGAGATGATTTGAATAGGAAATAAGCAAATGTCTAAACAAAAATTAGTGTGCATTTCACCACGAGAAAGTTAATAAGGAAACTTTGCATTTTTCAAACAAGTAATTATATATATTAAATTTTAAAATTACTTTACTATTTACGTTCATCAATCGAACATTGGGAGGGTTGGATTTTCCATCAGGACAATGCCCTGATTTACAGTGCTACAAAGAGCTTTTGTCATTTAGGAAAATTCCAGAAGCGTAGGCTTAAAAAAGCTATTTAACTGTTCAATCGTTGGTGTGCTATATGACTACATAACCGGCATAATAGAGTGGTCACATAAATTGAATTGAATTGGTCACCTTTATTGAAAATGAATTTTAATGTTTACTTTATTATGCATTTGAATATTTCATTTTGCTTTAAAGAATTTGTTTCAAACAAAAACTTGATGCACTTACAGTTAATTATCCAAGGTAGTAACACAACAAATAATAAATTCATCAAGTTATTATTCTCTTCTCACACTGTTCTTTTATTTTGCAGGTAAAGCGACATCCATAGAAAATATCGAGCTGTCACAGCGACAACAATAACGAAATGCAGGGTAAGTCCCTATATACAAACTGAACTAACGGTTTCTTGGGTCTACTTTGCAGTGAACACTCGGTATAGTGGTCCCTTGTAGCTATCTGTAGGAGCAGATCGTTCAGTTCAGTTGAGCCCAAGCGACAAACGTTACAGCAATGTCGTGGCAAAGTGTCCCTCAATATCCTCAATACCAAGGTTTACCTTATTTTTACTTTTAATTTGTTGGTTAATTGATATGATTTGATATGCTTTCTGTTTCGTTCCCCGTCGCATGCTTTTGTTGCGTTTCATTTTCTGCCATTACTTACATACATATATATAAGGCCTGCAAGCCATTTAAACTGGAACATTTTAGAGTACATCACGCCTTGGTTGGATGGTTTATTGTCGTATCTGAGAACTCTAAAGTATTCGAAGTACATGTCATTCATTTTAGATATAAATGTAAACAGCTTTATTTACTGCCACGAACTTTTGATCTTTCATCTTTTAACAGAAATTTTATTGAACGCTCAGAATGCAATTTGGTTTGTGTCTGCGGCAATTTCTTTTTCCCTGTTCTTACCGAACAAATCAAATATTTGCACATTATATATATACTTTTCTTTATTTATATATTCCTTCATGGTTCTCCATTTGGACTGATACAAAGCTAAGATAACAAAACATATGGGATTTGGCTTGCGGTGTTATTACTAAACGGTTTCTTATCCATCCGACTATAACGCACGATAAGTAACAGAATGAGGGTCTCCTTGGTAGCTTACTAACTTCTGTGGTTTCCTAAAATGAAAATACTTTTATAGACTTTATTGTATAAAGTGCTTTTACGTAGAGAAGTGCGTTTTCTTTATACTTGTGATTCACAATGACACTTCGCAATCTGAGCGATAAATTCTTGGAATGATTGTCTCCTTTCTTATTCTGTCACAAAGTGTATTCAATTGTGAAAATGATTTAGCATATATTCCATGACTATTCCCCAATTCAACATTGCAATTCAAAAGATATGTTTCAAGTTAAGCAACCTGAGCTTAAGCTCTGCTCGACATCACAGACAAGACATAAATGCATTTTGGGACACATATTTATCTAGCAATATATTTGTGATCTTTTGTTTTTAAAACAGTGCACAATATAATATTAAATTTTATCTTTCTTGAGTTTTTCTTAAGTTGTGCACTAAATTCTTAGTTGGATAATTTTTTTAGGATTTCGTAATGAGTGGTAGTTGTTAAGATTAATTTTCGAATGCTCATCAACAAGTCGGGCTCACTATAAGGCACATTTCTGTTCAGTTCGGATTGCATGAGCGAATCCTTATATAGAATAGATAAACATATTTTTTTTCCCACAGATCCCAATCAGCAATACAACTATGGTGGCTACCCGCCACAGGGTGGTTATGGCGGTGGTTATCCCCAGGGACCGCCACAAGGAGGTTATCCGCCGCAAGGAGGTTATCCGCCACAAGGCGGTTATCCGCCGCAAGGTGGATATCCACCTTACGCCCAGGGCGGCGCTCAACCGTATCCGCCACCTGGAGGATATGCGCCTCAGCCTGGCTTTGTTCAACCACCTACTGATGGCTACGGGTCCTACGATGATCCGGAGGGTCAGCCCAAGAACTTTTCATTTGACGACCAGAGCATCCGTCGCGGATTCATACGCAAAGTTTACATTATTCTAATGGTAAGCAGCTTGCTTCTGATAGCAGGCGATCCTAATTTATATAGCGACGACTATAATTGAAATTGGATTTTTATTGCAGGGTCAACTCTTGGTCACCTTTGGAGCTGTAGCACTGTTTTCCTTCCACAATGGCACTAAGCAATTTGTACAGAAAAATAGTTGGCTCTTTTGGGTAGCTCTGGCCGCTTTGATCGTGACCATGTTGGCCATGGCCTGCTGCGAAAGCGTACGCCGCCAGACGCCGACCAATTTTATATTCTTGGGAATATTTACAGTGGCGCAATCATTCCTCTTGGGTGTATCAGCCAGTAGATTCGGTCAGACAGAGGTGAGTACAGTGAGAAAATGATTTGTCAACTCCAATTGATTTCCTTGATTCTGCAGGTTTTAATGGCGGTGGGCATAACGGCTGCTGTTTGTCTGGCTCTCACAATATTTGCCATGCAAACCAAGGTGGACTTTACCATGATGGGCGGCGTATTACTCGCTTTCATGGTGGTCTTTATGATATTTGGGTTCGTGGCCATATTTTTCAAGGGCAAAATCATAACGCTGGTCTATGCGTCCTGTGGTGCACTGCTCTTCTCGGTATATCTGATATACGACACTCAGCTGATGATGGGCGGAGATCATAAGTACTCGATTAGTCCTGAGGAGTACATCTTTGCTGCTCTGAATCTGTACTTGGACATTGTCAACATTTTCATATACATTCTAACCATTATTGGCGCCTCGCGGGACTAGAACCATGCGCCCAATTAACTTGTATTCGGCAAACTTTGATTTAATGTTAACAGGCAATGTCAAAAACTTAATTGTATTGCCCTTACTAAAGTTATATTTCTAATAACCGCGTAATCTCACCTACAAGTCACAGAAACGAAAGCGTTCGAATATTATTAGTTTGAGCTGTTTGGTTGCGGAAATATCATATGCTTTGTTAAGTTGCCAATTTCCTTATATATTGTATTAATCTTAAGCTGAAATGTATGAGAAATTCTTATGTTGTTATGCATAGAAATGCACTGATGTTTATGTCGTTTACTTTCATGATATGTATTTCAAAATTATCTAAAGACTCTGCATACCTGATATTGATTGATCATCCAAACCAAATAATATCGCATAAAAGCAATAAATAGTCGTATATGTAATCACATTCAAATAGCTATGTACATACCTACATATATCTAAATATGCATACGTATGTATGTACATATATGCAGCGTCGCTTGCAGTTGTTAATCGTATAATACCTAATACTGGCGCCCCAAATATGCTATTCAGCGGTCAAATCAGCAATAAAGTGAATCTATTTATTTATTTAAAAATAATGTAAAACAAAAACAACAAAAACACCCAAACGCCAATGTTCTCTGTGTATACTGAAAGCGACTGAGGCAAACTCTAAGACGGGCCATTGTGAGACTTGTAGGTCTTCCCCATGGCCAAATGGGGCGTGGCAGCGAATGCACTTGCGAATGTAGTTAATGCCGCAGTCAACTGGCGGCAGTTGCCAGTTGGCGTTGCCTGCGAATGGATTAGTCAGTTTCGACATTCGCCCACATAAACACTATCATATTTAAGTTATTTTCTTATCAGGGCGATAAAAGTGAGACAACCAAATATTTAATACTTGTGCTACGTTCGCCGGCAAACATAGTTGCGTCCAGGTCTGCCAGTTTTATTCGGAAGCTTCCAGCAGTGCGTGTGATTTACGGCGAGCAACGGCCACATAGACTCATCCAGATATCTGAAAGTCCCAATACATACCATAAAATGTATCATTACCAGGCAGGCAAGTAGTCAGAATAAATATGTGAAAAACAAATTGCGAAAAAGTGTTCAAGATAAGATATACCAATTGTGTACATGGCACCGTATAAGGGTTAACCGCAGAATGTGAAACTTTCTCGATTCTTGTCGCAAGCTCACATTACAAATTCCACTCAAGAAAGTAATTTCTGTACGGCACTTTTTCCTTATCAAATGCATTTGATTAGACAAGGGCCATGTGGGTGATTCACGGCAAGTAGTACATAGTTTACAAATCGAATGGTAAATAAATGGAACCCAGGTGTGTCATATCGATACGAGACTGGCGAATGACGCGTTATCAGCAGTCACCAATACCAGTGCAGGTACGGGCACCAGGGAATATGTACTTCGTCTCCTGCCATTGGCACCCTTTGGCTGTTATCTAGAGCTTTCGATGTGTTTGTGTCTGTGCAGCGATAGCGGGCGGCTAATCTGCTGCTATCTGGCATATGGACAAGCGAAAAAAGGTGTCAGGCAATATCCATTAGCCGAACGACACAGACGCATTCGGAGTTATCCCAAGCATCAAATACGAATCTAGCCATGAGCAATACCCATTTTCAATACGGTTAGGTTATGGCACAAGTTGCTTCCATTTTCCATTCCTTCAACAAAGTATTCTCTCTCTTGCTCCCGACAGGCGACGACAATGGCGTCTACGCGGATGCGGAGGCGGACAAGAGTTTCGCATTCGATGACCAGAGCATACGCAAGGGCTTCATACGCAAGGTCTACCTGATACTGATGGTAAGTGCATCCGAATTGTATGTGGACAGACGCCTATTAAATGTTCCTTTAACAGGTGCAACTGCTGATCACCTTTGGCTTTGTCAGCGTGTTCACCTTCTCGAAAGCGACCCAGGAGTGGGCAATGCACAATCCCGCGCTCTTCTGGATTGCGCTGGTAAGTCGAATGCTTTGGGCAGAGTAAAAATCAAAGTCTCTCAATTTGTCCATGTTTTAGGCCGTGATGCTTGTGACGATGATCTGCATGGCCTGCTGTGAGAGCGTGCGCCGCAAGACGCCGCTCAACTTCATCTTTCTGTTCCTGTTCACGCTGGCCGAGTCCTTCCTCCTGGGCATCGTTGCCGGCCAGTACCAGGCGGACGAGGTGCTCATGGCTGTGGGCATCACGGCAGCCGTCAGCCTTGGGCTCACGCTCTTTGCGCTCCAAACGAAATACGACTTCACGATGTGCGGCGGAGTGCTGGTCGCTTGCCTGGTGGTGTTCATCATATTCGGAATCATTGCGATCTTTATTCCCGGCCAGATCATTGGACTGGTCTACGCATCGCTGGGCGCGCTCCTCTTCTCCGTGTATCTGGTGTACGACACCCAGCTGATGCTGGGCGGCAATCACAGGTACGCGATCAGTCCCGAGGAGTACATCTTTGCCGCGCTCAACCTCTACCTGGACATAATCAACATCTTCATGTACATACTCACCATTATTGGCCTGGCGCGCAACTAAGTGAGCCCGGACCGGGCTGGGCGCTATCTAGAACTATTTATTACTTTATTAGCTAACTGAGATTACGTGTCGGAATTGTTCAAGAAATACACTTACAATAACTGACTTGTGCACATATATATTTATTTATATTCATGCGATCTGCGATTGTTCCAGCGACTGTTGCTTGTGCCGCGCCAGCTGCGATCTGCGATCTGCGATCTGCCAGTTGGGTTCGTTGGTTGGGCTGCGACCCTGTCTCACGCAGCGGTGTCCAATTAATTAAAACACACGAAAGGCCGTAATGTAATTATGTCCAATTGAGTTTTGGCCGCGTGGCGGAACAGCCCATGGATTAGCGCTTAGGCGAAATCTGGAAGCTGGAAATGCGCAAGGCCCCGCGTTCAGTTGTGCGCGCATTTGATTCGGGTTCGGTTCAGTGGGTACAATGGATTTCGATGAAGTACTTAAGGAGGTGGGCGCTTTCGGCCTGTATCAGAAGATTATCATATGCTCGGTACTGCTGCCGGCGGCATTGCCGTGCGCCTTTCACGCCTACAGGTTCGTCTGACCACGCCAGACAGACTATTCCCAGCCAGTCTCTGGACCGGATTAGCCCCTTTCAAATCGCCTAATTTCGTTGCAGTCAGTTGTTTATTGCAGCCACGCCGAAGCACTGGTGCCGCATCCCGGAGCTAGAGCCATGGACACAGGACTATATACAGCTCGTCAAGAACTTAAGTATTCCACGGGACGGGAACGGCGCATACGCTGAATGTGCCATGTTTGTCCGCAACTACAGTGAAATAGTGCGTGAATTAATATTCATCTTATCTTTTTTCATAAATAATATTCCCATATTACCAAGCATTTAAATTATAATTACATAATCAGAAATAGACGAGAATGTTCTACAGTGAAAAAGTGGTCAAATTTTGTTTATAGACTTTTAAGTAACTCGTCAAGTAACAGTATTTACATATTGGAAAAAGCTTTTATAAAAAATTCCAATCATTAAGGTTAAGCTGTTTTGGAAGTTTTGAACTCTGATAATGGACAGTTCCTACTTGAGAATATAATTCGATGGTAGACAGATAGCTGAAAACCATAAGATATTTGAGAGAAACTTTTATTCCAGTATTAATTGCAAATGATTTAATATATATATGTTACGAGGTATTTGCGACGGTTTAACCTTTTAATGAAGTATTTAAAAACCAATTAAATTTATGAAATTCCCATATATACTAAAACTACATGAGAGAACTTAAAAAATAATGTCTCTAAATCTGTTATGTATCTTATATAATCAATATTGTTGTATGCTTATTCATCCACTGCTTACATCACTTACATTCACTGCTTACATCAGTTTGCATACATAAATGCACATTTGTGTGTACTATGAACATCACAAGTTAAAGCAGTTCAACGTTGAAATCAAGCAGTGCGCAAGCCGTTTACCCCGTTTAGATAGTTCGTTACGATATTAAGATATTTACGATATTTAAAGTACCAAATAAAGCCACTTTATAATTATTTGTTATTGCTTTAATAAGAGTATATTTATTGTTGACTGTTTTTTTTAAATTTAATTTAGTTAATTTAGCTTCTTGTTTTAAAAGTATTTGTAATGGATTTACAATTTATTTTAGCCTGTACCACATTTAGCCGTCTTATAGTTGCAGAATACGGAATTAGGAAGTTTTAATATTATTTGCTTTATTATAGGTGCGTTATCTGGAGTACCGTACGCCGTATGAGCTGCAAAAGGAGCAGGCGTCAAAGCTGTTAAAGGTAGATCAGGAGTCTGTTGTGGCCTGTCAGCATGGCTGGCATTACGATAGATCCATGTATCCCAGCACGGTTGTTCAAGAGGTACGAGATGCTCCCTGATGGAACTTAATTAATATTCTTTTGCTTGCAGTGGAACTTGGTCTGCGATAGGAGCTTCTACGTGACCCTGGCCTTAGTGCTCTTCGGCGTGGGTGGTCTGGTTGGAAACTATGTGTTTGGCTATCTGGTCGATCTGTGGGGTCGACGTCCCTCCTTCTACGCTTATCTCCTGCTCGAAATAGTGGCCTGTGCGGCCAGCGCCTTTGCCTGGAACTACTATTCCTGGCTGGGTCTTCGTTTTGTCGTGGGTCTCACCGTACCCGCCATCTTGGCCAGTCCCTACGTCCTGGCAATCGAGCTCGTGGGACCGGAGCGTCGAGTATTCTGCACAATTGTGTCCAACATTGCCTATTCTCTAGGCCTGGTCCTGCTCGCGGTAGGTACAATCTCGCTTAACGTGATAATAGAAGATTTAAGATTATGTATATTGAAAGGGCGTGGTCTACTTGGTGCGTGACTGGCGATACCTGACCCTGGCCGTATCGCTGCCGCTGCTGATGCTCTTCTCCTGCTTTTTCGTGCTGCCCGAGTCGCCACGTTGGCTGCTAGCCGTGGGCCAGACAAAGCGGGCAGTGAGAATCCTCAAGGTCATGGCTCGTGTCAACGGAATGCATGTCTCACGGGACTTTGTGGAGCGGCTGCAGCAACGACTAAGCCGGACGCAGCCCACGGAAACAACGCACTACGGCATTTTGGACCTCTTCCGCGGCACAAATATGCGACGCAAGACGCTCATCGTGACCCTGATCTGGTTCGCCAACACCAGCGTCTACGTGGGCCTCAGCTACTATGCCCCGGCGCTGGGTGGCGACGAGATCTGGAATTTCTTTCTGGCCGGTGCGGTGGAGCTGCCCACGTACCTGCTGATCTGGCCTGGCCTTAGCTACTTCGGACGGCGTTGGATTCTCTTCATTTCCATGCTGGTTGGCGGAGTGGCCTGTGTGGCCACCGTGCTGTATCAGCAGCAGGCGGAGGTGATGCTGCTCCTCTACTGCATTGGCAAAATGGGCATCTCATCGGCGTTCGTAGTGCTGCCCCTGCTCGCCTCCGAGCTGTACCCGACCGTGGTGCGTGGCCTGGGCATGAGCTTCAGCTCCGTGGTGGCCATGACGGGGCCAATAATTATACCGGTAATTAATCACATGGTAAGCATATTGAGATTGAGATGTTACTCTTGTTTGGCAAAAATAATATTCCATTTTGCGTGCAGGGCCAGCAGATGCTGGTGCTGCCCCTGATTGTGATGGGGGCGCTGTTGATTGTCGGTGGCTTTGCCAGTCTCTTCCTGCCCGAAACGCGTGGTAGGAATCTGCCACAGACTCTGGAGGAAGGCGAAGCGGTTCCGCTCAGTTTTCTGCTCTGCTGCTGCGCAGATTCGGAGCCGAAGGGTCGACAAAGAGGCCTGGGCAGGAGCCGGATGATTCCTGAAGAAGCTGCAACGGTTTACCACAGAGTCGGTGTTGGAGGTCCTGCATCCTGCAAAATCGTTTGCAGTATTTGTAAAAAAGAAATGCGAACATTGTAATAAATAAACAACGCACATTTTGTTGTGGGCGTTGAACACCTTTAATAACAATTGGATGATATAATTATAATTAATTTTTTAGATTTACACGGGCTTTTTGAATTGGTAAAAGTCACTAACTAACAACTATGACGATGGGATCACTCAAATATTATTATTCAGCCTAGAAGTATGCTATGAATTATTTGTGTTTCTTTCCAAGCCCCAACAACTATGGGCTAGTTACGCTCAAAGACTAATTTAACTTTATAATTGTTAAACTTAGATGTTAATCTAAGCCTATTTTAGACTTTAAATTCCCTTCATTTTCGCTTTGGATTTTGATGTATGTAATTGTTGTAAAAGCAGAAATTGTAGGATACATAACTGCATACCGTATGCCAATATTTATATAATTCTCTAGATACATTTTTTTTTTGATTTTTAATTCGTTCGCATAATGGGTGACATAGTGAAAAAGACGTCTTCGACCGCAGTAAGTGTAGTGTAGCCAAGTTAATTAACGGATTCCACGCAAATTTGTCCCTAAGTCTTATATAGATACTTCTTGATGTAGACGGTGCGATCCGATTGCTATATAATATTACACTATAGGTTTTTGTACAAATATGTATAGCCATTTTGAACAAAATCTGATTATTATATCTTATAACAACTTGAATAACGATCACTTGAAAGGGTCTGTTTATAAAATTAAGTATGCCAAGCAAACAAGCTTCACGATATTCAGATCAGATAGATAAATAAGTTCTAGAAGCAATTTATTTAACTTGCCTTGAAGGGCAACCCAAAGACAAGAAACCATTTTGTATAGAGCAACCGCTGCTTGAAAGTGTGTATGTATATGTACATACACACACATATTTGTGTGTGTATGTTTGAGTTGAAGGGTACTTCAGTTATGGGTAAAAGGTATATATGGTCGATAACACTCGAACTAGTTAAGAAATATTTACTTAAAGCTACTTAATTATATTAATGTGTGATGTTGAGCTATTTACTTAAGACAAACTTACACACAAACACATTTCATTTACAGACTTACATAAATTTGTATGCATCATATATTTAATACACGCGTACGTTTATCAGCACAACTATTTGTATGTATTGGTATTGGTTCGTTTGCATGAGAAAAAGTGTAAAGTACAAAGTCCACACACTCGACGAGTAGCTGCGGCCAGTTGTAAAATTGCATTCGCCTTATCAATGGCACGCGGAACGCCGGAGCACAACAAATAGCAAAAGAAAGAGACTCGCAGTGCGGAAGTGAGGGCAAAGTACGAAGCTGGCAAAGTGACAGGTAATTACATGCGCGTATGCATATAAATGGATAAACACTTAAAATTGCAATTCTCTTATGTAAATGTATGCATTTGTTTGTATTTAAACTTAAGCTAAAGTCGAACAAAAGAATCCATAAATATACATAAGTAAGAAGTACTGTGAATAATAATGAATATTTACATACATAGGTGAGTTTTAAAGTAGATATGTATGTATATGAACAGGGGCTGGTTTAATTGTCATACTTTCTTCATTGTATGCCATTATTCCATTTAAATCGATCGATTTTAAAAAAAATTTTCTAAATGGTTAACTGGATTTTATGCATTGTTGCTTGGGTTGGCTTAACTTTTACTAAGTGAATTTTTCAGTTTCTCAAAATAAACTTTTTATTGAAAATAATGTAACATTAAGAAACACATTTTTGGGTATAACGAATCAAATTAAAACTGTTCCATTTTGTGCCTCGAAACACACCCTGTTTATATATGTATGCAAGTGTCCATAGAGTGGGCATGTGTACAGTGAGAAACAACGATCAAAACAAACAAGAAAAACTGCCCCGACCGGGTAGATAAACGAAAGACAACAACAACAACGCCAGATGTCGACAGCGCGTCGAAGAAACCCATGTGCATTTAAAACATAATGTAATCGGTTCGAGCATCTACAGCAATGTACCCACACACACACTTGTATATAAATGTATGCACATGCCTATGTATGTATGTACATGTATGTACGTATATATAAATTCAATGTTGTGTTTGTGACGCCTTCGCAATTGATTAAACCTACGGAGCGCCCGGCATCGACCATCGAGCAGCGTTGTCGACGCTGCGTTCAGTGCGATCGCAGACATTGTGCAAAACGGTTCGCATAGTCTCCGAGCGGAACACTGGAATTAGAATTGGAATTGGAATTGAAATTGGAAGTGCGCGAGTAGCTGCTGGAACTGTGTCAGGCCAATTTGTAAACGTTGAAAAGGGCGTTACCCCCACCCCAAGAGAATTGAGCGCGAATAGTAGCCATCAATCATTCCAGCCAATTACAACGGCGCACAACTTGTGGCAGCCTTGAGGTAGGTCGCGTTTGGCATTGTGTTATTTCCAACTAAGCAGTAACCCCTTGTGGAACGACGGGCTCCAAGGCTGCTTTTATCAGCAACAGTGCTCCACCTCGTCGTCTTAAGGACCATCTTATCGTGCCACGTTGTCCGTTTTGGCTTTGTTGTTAACAAATCAAATTGCTGTTGAATATGGCGCGTGCTCGAAGCTGATTTTTTAGACATTCTGTTATCAGTGGTGCGAAGTGAACTGTTTTGAACTTGTTACGCGTCCGAGTGTTAATTGATAATATGTATAAATCGACATCGACTTTATAGTATATATAGAAGCGCTAATCTTCAAAATTGTCATGCTGAAACTAAGACGCATTTTATTTTTCGCCAATAAATACATTTATAAATTGCATACTTATCGCTTCCATATCAAAAGTTACCTTCACAAAAATATATGCCTCATAATAATATTATTTGCAATTCATTTACCTTTTTGTGAATTTGCAAAAATTGTTATTTGTTTCGAAACGCTTCAAAACTTTATCAGAAATTGAATTAATTCAAAGCAATCATACGAGGCCATTATCAAAAAAAAAAGAATAAAAAAAAAACAACACTTGGAAACACGAAGAGAACAGCGTTTTTTTATGTGCACACAAAAAATTATTTATACATAATGTATGTCTTGACGACACAGACGAGTCCACTGAAAACTCGAATTCACAAAAAAAAAACAAATCAATTTTGATATATTTTTAGCTTTATCAATTTGTTTTCTTTCGGAGGCTCGACATTTGTGCGCTCTGCCCCACTTGATATATCAATTTATATAGCCATGGATAGCGTCAAGTCGTTTTTCGCCAACCCGAACAAAGAGAATAATCTGGCCAATCAGCAAAATGGCGTTACGCGTCGTTGGGCCACCTGGAACGGCAACATGCAGGCACATTCGGATCCGGGTTCGGTGAACGCGGCCAGGAGAGACTCGGACCGCGGCGATGCCAAACGCAAGGATAGCGACAATTACTTCTATATCATGTAAGTTCTAGATATAATCAAAATAATACGGGGCATTAGATTGAGTGCAGCCTTGACTTGCTTATCGATAGAATTTATAAAAGTTCTAAATACTTGAGCAATAAAATTTCGTGATTTCAGTTCACTTTTATCAGCTTGCATTGGAATATCTTTATAAACATTTTGAAGCGTTATAAATTATAATTAGCTTTTGTTATCAAAGCGTAAACAATTTGTGGTAACAGCAAATACTTAACATTTTAATTGGACCGAGCCTCAAACGTTCTCTAGTACATTTTGTAAACCAGTTTTTCGATCTGGTCGTCGTCATTGAAAAATACCAGTATCGTGTTCATAAAACCAACTTTCAGCCCGAACAATTCCAAATCGGAGGCTAAAGCTTTTTTCACGTACACACTAGAGAGCTTGCTATCTAAATAATAGCATAAAGATCGCTAGTGAGGGGCAGAGGGAGGCGGGGAGAGGGGGGCAGCTTTGGGGCTTTACGTGGTTCTCGTTGCCACTTCAGTTACGAATTAGCTGTGACGAGCGTGAGGCGTCGCTTAAATAGCTTGGTCGAAGGCGGGTTATAACCCAAAAATAAACTCACCTGGGCGGTAGCCAAGTATAAAGTGTATGATTCAACATCGCAGCTGGAACAGTACCAGTTGGCCAACGGGCAGGATTACGTGCAGCGCGTAAGTTTCAAGATCAGCCGAATGTTGACTCATTCTGCTAGCTATGCTTAAGGGAGGGACTCATTCATTTCATTCAATCCAGATCCAACTAATCTCTCTCTCCGTATTCCTTCCAGGTGGCGAGCCTAAAGGAATCCCAACAGCAAAGGAGCCTTAGCATTAAGATTTAAGATCTAAAGTGACCTACATCTAATTAAAGAGACATCGGCGCTGTGACAGACGTGTTTTGCCCTGTTGCACAATCTCCAAGCCCGGCGTTTAGTGATATTAGTTATTTATTTGTAATTGATTTAAAACCTCACGTTGTCTGATCGAGACTCATCATTTCCGGTGTATATGGACGCGTTAACAGCTTTTGGCTTGATTTATTGGCTGATCTGCATGTTTCTCTTTGGACCTATGATGTTCTTTGTCTGCGTTTACCTGCCCGAAGTGCCAGTGCGATATGTGAAGAGCCTGAGACAGCAAACATAGATCTTTTACACCCTACTTAATTGATTATAAGTATACACACCCAATACATAGCACATAGAATATACAATTTATACCGATATTGATGTACTCGCATAATCAATATAACAACGCATTCTTTACAATAAAATCATTCATGTGTTACATTCAAAAGTCAAGTTCTCTCTTTAATCTTAACTTGAAGGTTAAGAAGCCTTGCTCGTGTCTGCGATCTGGTGAGAGGCTTGCCCGTCCAAAGTTCTCGTTTGTATGACCCCAGCCATGGCCTTCTATCTATTCGCTTGCGAGCGAACATTGAACTCTGTCGACACAGCGAGCTTCGTATAAACAACATACTTATTTATGGGGATTACAGATAAATACTTAACGCGTTGTTATGTCAAACAGAAAACTGCAATTGGATTGACTTCCTTACTAGCAAATCAAGGCTCTTTATCTGTCTTCCTTATTCAAAGAATAAATTTAAAAATAAAATTTAAAAACCAAGTCTCATTCACATATGTAATCTACCTTATTGTTGTGCGTAGAAATTAAGCATATTTTAGTTGGGAGTCGGGTGGTACTATATCTTAAGCGATAAAATATATATATAAATATATAAAGGGGATATATTGGAAACAAAATATAAAATAAAGTTGTTTTCACTGTTTATCTTAACAAACCCGGACCTCAAGCCAGCCAACAAATATTATATATATATAAAATATAAAAATATCTACAGAGTTAGTTGGATTTACATGGGGCTTTCTTCCAGGTAAGTAAGTGCCAAGCCGCCTTGCTGACATTTTGGCATGTCGAATTACTATATAAGGACTCTACTTTCTTCAGCGATTACCTTCGCAAGGAACTGTTATCATTATTATGGTTTATTTTGCTTCACTCCAGACTGTCAGCATGACTTTATTAATACACTTGGATCTAATGTCAAGCCTTAAGTGAATTTAAGAGCTTTTCTTGGGTTTTCACTTAGTCTCACTGCTGAAAATGTTGACTGTCAAAATATTCGCACGAACCGGTTACCCAAACAAAGCTTGAAGAATAGGAATAGCTTTACGCAGCCAAATCGATATGCAAATGGCAAAAAGTAATGCCTGGGAGCTGTGAGCTGGAAGCATTAGGAAATTTCTATAGTAACTCAAATAAACAAAGACGTTGACGTTGAGTGGCAAAGGAAAAGCAAGCGGCGGACTCTATTGTTCTGTTTTCACAATTACGTAAAGTTTCGACTGTGAAAAACGAAAATTTGTTCAGTTAATGTCAGGAAAACATTAGTGCCTCCACATGAGACCTGCACAGTGTGTGTACAAAAACAAAGAGAAACACAATTAGATACATTTTTTGGTAAAACTATCCGCAAGCCACATCAAACGCCGAGAGAAACCAGCTCCATCATGCAGTTGTCTAAGCCCAAGGAGGGCAAGCAGAAGAAGGTAAACAATTATTCCAATATTATTTTGCCACAGCACTTTGCACAATTCCATTCGAGTCCGGGGTCCATCCGGTCTCTGTGCATGCGAACACTTTGCGAGCTGTCAACATTGTGATTGGGCTATGGGCAAATCCTTGTCATACCGTCGTCCTTCGTTACGGGAGTCTATTTTCGTATTTAAAAATTCGCAATTACTTTTTAATAAGTTCGCTGAAACGTAGCGCAGCAAAAGTTATTGGCGCTCTGATGGAACTTTGTCACGAAACATAATTTGCAATTTGCCCAAGGCGGCGCAGGGCGGGGTGAGGTCGGGTCAGGTGGGGTCAGGTGGGGGATTGGAGCTGGCATGTGCGTGCCGCTAAAGAGAGATGGCACTACCCGCTTTCCTGCACGGCAGATCAGTGCAGAAATGCAGCTGTATCGAAGAATTTCTCGGATCCGACTACTCCCGGGCCAATTGAGTGTCGCTGGCAATCAAAGTCAAGTCACCTCCCTGCCTCGACGCAATAAAAGCGTCAATAAATCAGACATTGATACGACTGTAGACTCGGCATAAAAATAAATGGCTAACTGAAAGCGACGCCTAGGCAAGTCCGCCCAAACAGTACGTCGGGATCCGCTTTAATCGAGTTGTGTGCAATTTTCTATTTATTTACGCGCCCCAGCCGGAAATGTCAACACCCTCTCGGCTCCAATCGCATCCTTACCTTACATTGACGATGACGTGCTGCAGACGTCAGCGAGGCAACTTTTGGGCTGCGCGTCGAAAGTCGCAAGTCGAAAGTTTCGCGAACGTCATCAGTTTCGTTTTCCGGAGCTGGCTGACTCGAGGTTGTCCCCTAGACCAGGTCTCAGTCGTGTTGCGCCTTCCAAAAGGTTCAGGCCTCGCACGTCTCGTGCCTTAACATTTCAGACTAGCGCTCCTCTTCCCATAACGATTGCCGAGATGTGGAAGCTAGCCAACAAGGCCATGGCGGTATTTGAGTATTCAATCGTAGCGATCTGTATCAGTATCTGTATCTGTAACTGTATATCTATCTGTATCTGAGCAGTTTTGTACTAGACCTTATGCAAGTTGCTTTTATCGCAAGTAGTGCAAATTGCGTGTGTGTGTGTTTGTGTGTACATATATATATATATCTATTTTTTTTGTGTGTAGTTGTACAGCAACAGCAACAAGCCAAACAAAATGTAAATACAATCTTAGCCGCAGCCTAACTCCAATTCTGTAAATACAAATCTTATTCTCCAACTATGTAATTTGTTGTATGTAGATCTTCAGTCATTCCGTCAGTCAGTTGGTCAATACGTCAAATTGTGCGTACTGATCGACAGCTGCATATACTGTATATAAGTGCATAGCATCAATAAGTAGATTACCTGTCTGCTCCGCACCTGATCCATTAGTGTTTAGCTTGTACAGTTACTCGTCAAATGTCAGACCACGGTGCCGCGGGTCCACCGGAAGACCAGGCTGGCCCCAGTACAGATGAGCAGGCCATGAAGGAACAGCAGCAGCTACTCGAGGAGGTAACTGCAAATGTCACGCCAGCCAGTTGAGAGCTCGGCTCGCCGAACACAAATGCCCTTTCCAAAATAAATCGTGGGATAAAGTAAAGATTAAAGGAATAATTGTGACGTGCCCCCATATGAACAAGTTATACAATGTTTAGAGTAAATTTTATGAGAATATCAAATAGTCAAAATTATCAACGTAATATCTTTGTCTGATCGTAAACCGCAAATTCTACAAGGAATTTTATTATCTCCCTCGCACAGCCAAAAAATCAAATATGAATCCCTTAAACATAAGCTTTAAATTAAATTTGTTCTAGACTTTTGGAAAGAGTAAATGGGCAAGTATTGAATTAGCTTCGACATGCTTGAAAATTTAAATATTTGCATGCCGTGGGATTTTGATTATATTGTAGATATATTGATCGTATCACGTAGCTCAAAATCGATGCACCCTTAATTCGAACAATTGATGTTTGATCCTAGTTTGATGTTTAATTCCTGTAAAGTATCCTAGCACTGCAATGTCATGTCATCGAAGGTAAGTCTTTGACCGGTTATCCATATCCCGCTCCCAGATATGTTAACCATTATCGCACTTCCAATAATGATGCCTACACACTCCACACTGGAATCCACACTGAATCCGGCTGATCCAATTATCTCTTAACCCATTATTTACTCTATTATAAATAATAGAATAGAGGATCGAAGACCAAGGGAGAAGGTGGCGGCGGGGGAGGCGATGCTGATGACTTTGATGCCTGGATGAAATCACGCCAATTGATCAAGCCGGATGACCAACTTGATCTGACAGAGGCCGAGCTCGGGGAGGAGGTCACCAAGGTCCTCACGCCCACCAATACAAATGTGCTACGTAATTTGGTTGTGTACAGCTTCAAGGAGGGCGAATATGTGTCGGCCCCCCTGCCAGGCAATACTGTGACCTTAATAAGCTTTCCGGGCAATTCGCTGCACGTGGACTCAGAAGAGGCGCGCATCCAGGTTGAGGAATCCGATGAAATCGGCTACCCATTGCCCATGCCAAACTATTCGGTGGTCGAGCAGCGGGAAACTGTACTGGAGGGCGAAGAAGAGGGCGAAGGTGAAGGCGAGGAGGACGAAAAGAGTGAAATGGGCAGCAAACGCGGTCCTGCCGCCGGCGAGGAGGAGGAAGCCGAGGAAGAAGAGGACGAGGAGGGCAAGGCAACCGAGGGCGAAGCGGCCACCGAGACCGAGGGTGGCGGCGATGAGGAGGAGCAAGGCGGCGTACAGCAAGCTGCTGCGGCTCCAGGCAAAAAGCGCAAGCTGATCAATCAATTCAACTATTGTGAACGGGCTACTCTGACCTACACCAATCCCAAGCGTGTAAGTAATACAATGAATATATATGGAATCCTTTGTAAATACAATCCGTGACGTGTTTCTAGAATGTGGATACCCAAACCATTCCGCCGCCTCGTTCCCAGTTCGGCGCCAACGTGCTGCAGTGGGTCATCTTTGACACCTATATCGAGGACTACGAGGAGCAGCAGAGAACGGGCCACGTCCATGGCGATCAAAGACGACGCTCGGCCAAAAAGAGCTTCAAAAAGAAAACCGCGATAGCGGAGCTGCTCAACCGGAAGTATGTCAGGTGCTGGCAGATACTGGAGCGTATGATAAACCAGAATATATACGATGATATTGGCAACGACTATCGCTACTGGGAGGATCCGGCCGATGAGTATCGCGAAGGCGAGGGCAACCTGCTGCCACTTTGGAAGTTCCAATACGAGAAGACCAAGAAAATGAACGTCACCGAGATTACGTTTAATCCGAGCTACTACGATCTATTCGCCGTGTGCTTTGGTTCACGTAAGTAAGCCCCGCTGTCGATTGAAATTCAGCTGCTCCTGACATCAAATCCCTTCCAGATGATTTCCTTAAACAGCCCAACGAGGGCTATCTGTGCCTGTTCACCGTGAAGAACCCGTCGTACCCGGATTACATAAGTGAGTTTGATTGGACTCCAGGTCAGACTTCGGCTATAATATGGATTTTTCTGCTCTAGTTCAGACGGATTGCGGCGTCATGTGCTGCGATATCCATCCGCATTATCCGTTCCTTGTGGTCATCGGCCTATACGATGGCAATGTGGCCGTCTACGATCTGCGCGATGGCTGCAAGGAGCCCATGTACGTGTCCAGGGGAGTTAAGTGTAAGCACGCCGAATGCGTTTGGCAGATCAAATGGGGACCGGACATGGCCGACGGCGAGATCAACTTCTACTCAGTGTCCTCCGACGGATGCGTCTTCAGCTGGATTCTCATGCAGAACAAACTGTGGGTAACCACCATCATTACGCTTTATCTAGAGAACGGCATTGCGGACGGACCGGATGGCACCAAAGTAACACTCAAAAGTGGCGGCTCCTGTGTCCAATTCCATCCCATAAATCCAGCTGTCTTCCTGGTCGGCACCGAATGCGGTCTGATTTACAAGTGCAGCACGGCGTTTAGCTCCAAGTATCTGATGACCTACTATGCACACAATATGTCCGTGTATCGCATCGACTTCAATCGCTTCGATTCGAATATATTCGTATCGTGTAGCGGAGATTGGCGCATCAAGGTCTGGGAGGACATGCGCGCGGATCCGCTCTTTATATTTGACCTAGGTTCGGCCGTCGGCGACGTCAAATGGGCGCCCTACTCGAGCACCGTATTCGCCGCGGTCACCACCGAGGGCAAGGTGCACGTGTTCGACCTGAATGTGAACAAATACAAGCCCATATGCGTGCAGGCCGTGGTGCCCAAGCGCAAAAATAAGCTGACCCGGCTGGCCTTCAACGAGAAGCTGCCCTTCATTGTGGTGGGTGACGAGAAGTGAGTATCGAGGGGGGTATTTGCCTAATTGGAGCATCTGATAAATGCGACCTTATCTTTTGTATAGGGGAGTTACCACCTCATTAAAATTGTCGCCCAACCTTCGTGTCATGGTCAAGCCACCGAAGAAGCAGCTCTATCTCGACCAGCTGACGTTGCAGAACGCAAAGCTGGAGAAGCTGCTGTCCTTGGTTAGGGAGTTGCCGGAGGGCTCACCAGTGCCGGATGCAGCCACCACTGTGCGGACTTAGAAGCCAGAACAGCTATTATGATAATAACGTATTATATTTTGATAAGTTAGCGTATTAAATAAGTACGAATAGTACAGAGATCTTTATTGAATGGACTGTAGACGAGTAGGTCCGGGAACCTTGGCTTGAGGAATAATCACAAACTAATCTAGCTATATCTATAGACAGATGCGAGCTAGCTATCAACATAAATATGGGAGCACAGAAAGGAACACATAACCTTAATCTTACAAATAGAGCTTAGCACAACGATCATATAGTACATTTAGTAGGAAGTGTGTAGAGTAAAGACTTCAAACTCTTCCTTAACGATCTTTAAATGGAAACTTAGAGCTAAACACAATTGATGCTAACGTGAATGTTCAGCTAATCTTCAATGGGATCATCTGATTTGACCTTGATGTTTTTGCCTTCGAGAAACTCCAAAACATTGTTGGGGCACATGACACTCTTGCCCAGAAACAGCACGGTCGACATGGGATGCAAATAGTCGGAAGCGAAGGTGGATGCTTTCCAGCCGAAGAAGCCGCTGGCCCGGACCTCGTTGCCGCTAATCTCGTAGGGCAACAGATTGACGCCCACTTGATTGACCTTGGAGAACTGCACACGGAAGTAATGGCCATCGGTTGCCTTTATCCAGTAGAATCCCTCGCCGTCCACGTGAGGCTTGCTCTGCGATTTCTTCATGGCGTTCGAACGCTCCAAATCCTGCACATTGAAGCTGATGTCAATGTCGAAGGCGTCGGGCGAGAGCTGATTGGTTTCGATGGCGCTCTTGAGCGCATAGTTGTCCAGCCAGTAGCGTATGCCCACGTTCTCGAACTCCTCGAGCACATGGTTGAAGGTCGTCTTCAGCTTATCCAGGCAGCACGGGGGCGTGTGCTTGCCCAGATAGTGGTAGAAGGGACGATTGTTGTAGACGGTGCCAATGCACGACTTGGTCGTTCTCTCGCACCCAAACAGATCAATGTCCGTGACGAGGGGCAGCGAGAAGTTGGATGAGGAGAACTGTGCATCCAGCACGGGGCTGTGCGGCTGCCAGTTGCCTTCACGTGCCGTGGACTTGCCGCCGACTCGGTGGGTTCGTCGTATCAGGCGCTTGATCTGCAGCTTCTTGTACATCTCACGGAACTGGCGGCGTCGCAGATCCATGCGCCGCTGCTTCGTGTGGAAGGAGGCAAAGAGCCGGCGCCCCTCCAGAAAAGATTGAGGAAAAACGGTGGTCTGGAAAACTTCGATATGAAAGCGAGCTCATGAAGGGGACTATAAGTTACCGTTAGGTTGGCAATCTTGGCCTGCACGTAGAGCATCTCCGGGAAGGGCAGAGCGAATGGCAACGGCATAGAACCGAGTGTCGCCACGTCTATGAGAATCGCGTGCTTCTGCAGGAACTGGAAAGAGAAATATACTTTATGGCCATATCATCTCTTCTTCATCTTCCATTTACCAGGTCGCAGTGCGTACTATCATTGCGTGCATCTAATTCCATGGTCCAATTGGGCAGGTCCAGGTTCAGCTTGGCGCAACTGCTGAAGGATTTCTGGTTTCCCGCGAACGGAACGAGTACCAAACGACGCACAGGCTCCTCCGGCGCGACGGTCACTCGCTGCTGGGGTTTGCTAGGCTCCCGCGAGCCGGACTTCGTGTTGATCTCGCGCAGAATCTTCTGCAGCAGATTCTTGCTGCTCAAGCGCACGCTGTCCGGCATAAGGAGCGCATATTTTGTGTGTATTGCGGCGAGCGGGTTCAGCTGCTCCCGCGTTCGGCGCACATCGAAGGCCAGACTCATGAAGTGAACCGTCTGCTCCTCGCCGCTGGTCAGGTTCCGCTCAAAGCTATCCGGCGGATAGGCATACTCGGCGGCGCCCTCCTGCAGCACCAGAATGGGTATATTGGGCACAACCTCCAGTATGCTAATGAGACAATCAGTTAAACAATAATTGGGATGTAAACAGGTGGGATACTCACCTCTCAATGCTGGGCCGCAGATCCTGCTCGAAGTTGTAGTGGCCATAGAATACAATTGTTATCGATTTGCGTATGTGCTTGTTGGCATTGCGCGCCTTGTCCTTTGGCGAGAGCTTAACACGGATGCCGTCGCTCTTTGGCTTCGCCTCTCCGCCCTCGCCCGAAAGCGCACTGCTGATGCGCCGCCAGAGCAGCGTGTTCCAGGTGTAATAGAAGAACACCAGATTGGCGATAATAAAGCCAAACAGCAGCAATTTGACCAGACGAAGTCGGAATATCTTCATGATGCTGAGAGTCCTCTGGGGACCGTGTGCTCAATGGATGCTGGCGGAGCGTTTGTCCGAACTAAACAGATTATCCTTGCGGCTGCGAATGCAACTATGAACTCTACGGATGACGATTCCACTGGCCTTCTATCCCATCAATGATACGGGAGCCGGCTCGAGTTCACATTTGTATGTGTTCGTTTGCAGGGCAAACACATTTTAATTAATATTTTGTCACTTTTGTTTTTGTTCAGTTTCCTTTTCAGTCAGCTTTCCTAGAGAATACTTTTCGCGTCAAAAGCTTTTCCCAAGCCCAACAGCTGATTGTTTCCATCAAGGAGCAGCTGGTTTGGCAACGAGCTAAAAGGACCTTAAGCACATCCTTCAAAAGCTTCGGATGAGCTTTGTGCTGAGAAACGGACGAGTCGAAACATACCCTTAACGGTTGAATACTCAAGCACATCCACTCGCTCACAAATTGGGAGGAAATTTAAAAAAAAACCACCTAAAATGTGTAACGCATAGCAGGAGGCATATTTCCCACCTCATAAAGTATTATATATATATATATATATATTTTTTATGATTACCAACAGCCGAGAATATAGTCAATATTCATTTTTCGAAATGTCTTAGCATATTTGTCATTTACGAGTTATACCATGCTGCACACATGTGAGGCAAGTCTTATCAACATCGGGCCTATATATGTACCTATATATATGTTTATGGGAAAATTTAAAATTAGATTTTCTATATCTGTCAAGCTGTCTTCACTGAAATCCGCAAATTCGAGCTTCAAAAATCCTTCTTGTTTAATTGAGCAAATTTACGATTAATATGCATTAATTTAAATTATTAAAACCTTTTGCATTTTCAGTAATAACAAGCCCAATAATATAAAATAAATAAGTAAATACTTATTCATTTATTACAACAAATATATTTTATTTTGGTTATATCATGCATAAAGTTATCAATTATTAATTAAGCAGTTTCTACTTAAGTTGGATGGGTACAAATCTTATTTGAAGTTGCGAAGCATTAAAAATACACAAACTATATTTTATGCCCGACATATATGTTTGGTATTTAACAGCATTTGCTATAATAATTTATTAATGAATGCAAAGAAACATAACATTTATAAGGTTAATTCAAGCATTTAAATATCCGCCCAGATCTTACGGTAAAGCTATCTTGCAGGCGGCTGCATCGGCTAACAAAGATATAATATTATAAATATATATGTATTACAATTTGCGAAAGATTTTTTGTTTTTGGCACTACGGAATGTTTTTAAATGACAATTAATTTTTTTAATTTTTCGGTACAATCTATCCACACACAATTTCTTGAAAACCTGCGCCTAGCTTTCATATAAATATCACACAATATTTCGAATACTATGTCAGGTAAGTCTTAGCTTTAACTATTGTTCGGTTCAAATTGAGCTGCAGTGAAGGATTTTATTTGGGATGTAACCGACCGCGCAATACTCTATACAGTTAAAGCGGCTAAAATGGGGTCTATTTCTATGTATAGATTTTCCCGCCTACAATTTTACAGGTTAAAAAACAAAATCTTTGTACTTAATCGGACGCGAATTGGATAAAAAAGTCGACCGACAGGTAACTCACAGGAACTAACATAATCTTTTTTACCTTACGAACAGAGTATTAAAACAATTGAGCAAAAAGCGACAATTATTTTTTAAGCAACTAGGTATTTCTTTCCCCAATTGGGTAACTTTCTTTTTTGGATTAATTTCCGGCTAGATTTGTACTTGAGATGGTGGGCAATGGATACTCTGCGCTGGCTCACTTTCCCATGCCCGCGAAGAGCAAGGGAAAAGGCACCTCGTCAGTGTTTAAGAGCGGCGGAGTAGGAGCACGCGCCTCAGCCTCGGTGGTGCTATTTAGCCAGTAGGTGGTAACGGTGCCCTTGCCCTTGAGCTCCACATCGCCCCTGTGCTCCAGCTCGAATGTGCCAAACTTGTCCAGGATGGCCTTGGTGGCCGACGAAACGTGAATCTTTCCAGCTATAAATTGGGTAACATTAGAGTTTGGAAAGCTTTTTGGCTGATTGCCACATACGCATGCCCGTGGTCTCCAAGCGTGAGGCGGTGTTCACGGTGTCGCCAAAGAGACAGTAATGGGGCATCTTCTTGCCCACGACGCCGGCACAGACGGAGCCCGAGTGCATGCCGATGCGAATCTGGATCTTGTAGTCGGGCTTGTGCCTCAGGTTAAACGAGCAGACAGCCTGAAGTATGTCCAGGGCCATCAGCGCAATCTCCCGGGCGTGCTTATCGCCATTCGGCTCCGGCAGGCCAGAGACCACAAGGTACGCATCGCCAATTGTTTCCACCTAACGAACGAGAATTCAGATCTGTACCCTTATGTAATCTATCCAATTGGGAGCTCACCTTGTACACATCGTAGAAGCCAATGATGCGATCGAATGTGCTGTAGAGATCATTGAGGAAGTTGACCACGTCCATGGGTGTGCTGCGGGCGCAGAGCTCGGTGAAGCCCACAATGTCGCTGAAGTAGATGGTCACGCTGCTGAACTCCTCGGGCTCCACGAGATCCCCGGCCATCAGTTGCTGGGCGACGGGACGGGGCAGGATTTGATACAAAAGCTCCTCGGTGCGTTGTTTCTCCAAGCTCAGCTGCCTGGTTTTCTCCTCGACGAGGCTTTCCAAGTTGTTGGCATAGTGCTCCATGCGATTCAGCAGATCGTCCATTAGATTCTCGCAAAATCCCCTGACAAAAACAAAAGTGCATTGAAAAATTAAAGGTAAATTTGGGGCCTCTTCACTCACTTCATGATCGTGCGTATGTTGCTCCTGATCGTGGAGAATGCTGGACGCTCCTCCTGGTTGTCTGCCCAGCACTTCTCCATGAGCACCAGCAGATCCGGCGGGCACTCTCGCTCGCGAATCAGCGGCCGGAAGGGCGGATACTCGCACTGGCGGACCTTATGCAAAATCGTGTGTACGTCCATGCCCTGTTGCCGTGCCTCCTGGTAGGGGCCACCTCGATTGACAATCTCCTCGAGTATAATGCCAAAGGAGTAAACGTCGCCGCGCTGCGTTGCCGGACAGCCGGGAATCGATGTCATCGGCAGCAGTTCCGGCGCAATCCACAGCAGCTCTGGAAAATCAACTTTGTCAGCAACAACAACAAGTACCAACAAATGTGTTCCAAACGGCCATTCTCTTACTGGTATAGTAGTTCTGGTCGCGCACAAAGTCGGAGGGCGTGGTCAGCGTGCTGAGGCCAAAGTCGGAGATCTTGAGCACGAAGCGTCCATCGATCAGGCAATTGCAGGAGCGCAGCTTGCCATGGGCGACGACGTCGCAGTTGTGCAGATAGCTCATGCCCTTGACGATGTCGTGTATGAGGGACATCCGGAAGTTCCAGTCCAGCTCAATGGCCTCGTTCTCCAGCACATCCTTGAGACTGCCGCGCGAGCAATATTCCGTCAGGATGAGCACAGTCGGACGCGGCAAATCGATGCAGGCGCCCACGAACCGAACCGTATTCTCGTGGCTCACGTCGCGCGCCTGCTTGATCTCCCACAGCAGCGTCGAGGTCACCTCCACCTTCTTCACGTTCACCTTCTTGATGGCCACCCGCTCGCCCTTGAACTGCCCAATTGTCGTGTACACCTGCGGCGGCAACGAGGCGAAGCTGGCAATCGACGCTCGTCCGGAATGTATGCCGAACTGTTGCAGCGAGATGTTCTCCACGTCCAGGCGCTGCAGCCCGCCCTTCGAGCCGAACATGCCGCCCATTTCTATCAGAACATCTTCGGGTCGCACGCGCCACGACATATTGTGCAACTCCTTGCCGAGCTTCATTTGCCTGCAGAGAGAGGGGTGCGAGTGAACTTTAGTAGGGTCATTTGTGGATAGTTTACTACAAGCAACTAAAAATAGATATTATTATTGAGTAGATAAAGTTGTCCACAAAGTTAAACTACAATCCTTTCTTCAACAAAACTACAAAAGAAAAGATCCTTGAATTTTCGAAAGTATCTTTCATTTTTAGCACAAAACAAGTGTTGGAAAACTTTACATAGATACTTCAAACCAGAATACTGGACGATAGAGATCTACTTGATACCCCAAATCCATTGAAAATGTGTAAAGATTATATCGTAGTTCTGCGCATGTATGTAACGGAAGGAAAGAAGAATCTGCATCTCCACGAAGCACATATACAGATTCTTGGTCTAAACGACGATATAGTCATATAGTGTAAACGCGTCGATCTCGAAAACTATCAGAGCCATTGACTTGAAATTTGAAATATATATGTTCTAGTATATCATACGCAGAGCAAGACTATAATTTCCGTTTTCCAAAATAAAATAAAATGATAAGAACAGGATACACCAAACTTGGTATGTAGGTATATTCTTAGTATAGTATGGTTCACACAGATTCAGAATATTGCCCTTCTTGATACCTTCATCATTTGGGTATGTACACACATTTTGATCTAATTTTATTATTTCATAATAATCGGACTATAAGCTTCAAAGCTTTTCAGTACAGAAGCAGGATCTGCTCCCACTTGTTTCTAAAATTTATGTTTCCAAGGCTTCATAAAAGTGTCGAAAAAATGTATTATATCTGCAAGAGTATATAAACTTGGGTATCCCGCTGATCTGTGATCATACTTTTTGTTCCTTCTCAGACTTTACATACCTTTGCAGCAGACAGATGACCAAAAAGACAAGTCCCAAAAACAACGCCAGGCCGAAGACGGAATACATGATTGTGGTTTCTAGAAGGGACAACTTTGAATCACCTGCAGCCAGAGAATAGAATTATGAACTTACCGTTCCCGTGGCAGTCGGGTGAGTTGCCCAGAAAGCCGCAGGGTGGAATATCCGGTGGAGGTTCCTCCCGGCCACCGGGCCAATGTATCTTCTTGCCATGCGCAGCTGCATATTTCCTGGAATAAAACGCCGTTAATGGAAGCTTCCGGCAAGGCAAGGCAAAGGACACGCACCTATGCAGGCCGTAATAATGTGCCACCACTGAGAATTTGCCATTGATGGGATCCAGATCAAGTATGGAGTAGTCTGCATCGCGGTCCCCGTTGTCGTCTATGCGAACGTGTCCGGTAATCCCATGGAATGTGCGGTTCCACATGCGGCGCGTGATATTTACCCCGTCTCGAATGTCCCCGCCCTCGGTCAGAGTCTCATTCAGGGC